TGCTGAGTTTAAAGTTGATCGGATTTAAAATAATTGCCAAAGTGGCTTGTAGAATAAAAACGTGTACAAAACCTATGGGGAAAAGAGGAAAAAGAAAAACTAGAGGTCTATGTCTGTTTGCAACAGAACATAGGGCTTTTCCGCATTATGTTTTTTTTAAATTAAGGTCATGTTTTTCTGTTTTGTGCAAAACTGTGTGCATTTACGTTTTGTTTAACAAACCTCATTCAAATGGAAATTTGATTTTGGCATATTGCATTTGTCATATATAAAATATATATATAATCACAAGATGACGTCATTATGACGTCACCTCAATATTTATTGTTAACACATCCCGGCATGCCCCCATACCAAGTTTTAACCCAATCTAAATTACTGTTGATGAGATAGGGGCTTAAAATATACAAACGATGACGTCACATGTCTAATGATGACGTCATTGTAACAATACTTGGCAGTGCTCATTATTTTATTGCGGTTTTAGTCTGTACCAAGTTTGAAAACAATCGGATTAATGAAAGTGTTAAATTTTGTAAGCAGAATAAAATTGGCAATATTAAAAAAATCGTAAAAAAATCTACTGATGACGTCATCGTGACGTATTTCAGATGTTGTGTACTAGTGTTATTATCTACCCACCCACCAAGTTTCATGACGATCGGACATTATCTTATATGTGTTTCAAAAAAGCGCATATTTGATGACATCATCATGACGTCACACATTTTTCAAAATTTTGTACATATACCTATTGCCTTACAAACCTAATACAAAAAGAATTTTAAATTTAACATATTGGGTTCGTGATATATGGTTTAAAGGTCCAAAACTTCAAAAATCTATATAAAATCACACGATGACGTCATGATGACGTCACCTCAATATTTATTTGTAACACATCCCGGCCTACCCCCATACCAAGTTTCAACCCAACCTGACGTACTGTTCATGAGATATAGGGGCTTAAAATATACAAGTTAACGATGACGTCACATGTCTAATGATGACGTCATCGTAACAAGACTTGGCAGTGCTCATTATTTTATGGTGGTTTTAGTCCGTACCAAGTTTGAAAAAAATCGGATTGATAAAAGTGTTAAATTTTCTAAGCAGAATAAAATTGGCAATATTAAAAAAATCTTTAAAAATCGACCGATGACGTCATCGTGACGTCATTCAAGATTGTGTGTACTAGTGTTATTATCTACCCACCCACCAAGTTTCAAGACGATCGGACATTCCCTTATATGTTTTTCAAAAAATCGCACTTTTGCTGACGTCATTATGACGTCACACATTTTTCCAAATTTTGTGCATTTATCTATTGCCCAGCGAACCTAATACAAAAAGAATTTTGAATTTATCATATTGCGTTAGTGAGATATGGCTTAAAGGTCCAAATCTTCAAAAATCTATATAAAATCACACGATGACGTCATGATGACGTCACCTCAATTTTCGTCTATAACACATCCCGATCTACCTACATACCGAGTTTCAACTCAATCGGACTAACAGTTCTGTAGATATAGGACTTTGTAATATGCACATGAATGATGACGTCACGTGACCCATGATGACGTCATCATGACGTCTATCTTCGCGAACGACCTTTGCTATATGTTCTGTGACTATGTTAAGTTTTGATGTCATATGACTTTGTTTTATGCCAAAAGTGTTTGCTAGAAAAAACGTGCACAAAGTCTATGGCATTTTGGTTGGAAGTCCCAAGAGGAAAAAAAAAAATAAAAAAGAAAAAAAATTCGTAGAGAAACAAAGGCTTTTCCGCAACTTTGCGGAAAAGCCAAAAAAAAAAAAAAAAAAAAAAAAAAAGGAAAAAAAAAAACTTTAACGAAAACAATAGCTGTTCCCAATTGAAATTGGGAACAGCTAAAAAAAAAAGGAAAAAAAAAAACTTTAACGAAAACAAGAGCTGTTCCCAATTGAAATTGGGAACAGCTAAAAAAAAAACTTTAACGAAAACAATAGCTGTTCCCAATTGAAATTGGGAACAGCTAAAAAAAAAAATTTAACGAAAACAAGAGCTGTTCCCAATTGAAATTGGGAACAGCTAATAATACCCCAGTGGGGTATAGCAATGTGAAGACTGCCCTCCAAAAGTCTATACAATGTGAAATGAACGACAAGTGGATAAACCATTTAAAAACTCTGACAATTCAGGGTAAGTTGGTTTGTATCTCTGAGTCTGAGAGATCAGATCCGTGTGGTAAATCTTATATTTTCAATTTGCCAAAAGGTGTGATTTTTAGACACTCTTCCCACAAAGGCAAATCTCAGTCGTCGGGGTAAGGTTGTCAATACAAAGTGTAGTCTCTGTGGCAAGAAAGAGACCCTCCTGCATATACTGAACGGCTGTAAATACATGCTTGATCAGGGCCGCTATACTTGGCGTTACAATTGTGTACTCCGCCTCATATTTGATGCTCTGCACCTAGCTAGAGCAGAGGCATGGGAAATATATTGCGATATTCCAGGTGCCAAAAAGACTGCTGGAACCACTATTCCACCATCTATTCTTGCCACTCAACAAAGACCAGACCTTGTTATTGTTAACATTATCAAGAAAGACATAATAATCTTGGAGCTCACAATCCCTTACGAACAAAATATTAACAACGCCCACACTAGAAAATTGGACAAATACTCTTTGCCTTGTTGAGGATTTGCATGATGTAGGGTACACTACTAATCTTGTTTGCCTAGAAGTTGGTAGTAGAGAACTCCTTACACAGGATAACCTCACAAGGCTACAGTCTCTTTTCCCCCTCGTGACAGACACAAACAAGCCCATGAAAAGGGAGGCGAAGAAAATGCCAAATCTTTTAGCCGGTGTGCAGTTTACTGCGTCCTATAGCATTTTTATTCTAAATACGACCCCGATTGGACCATTGACTAAATTTTGTTCTTTTCTTGCCTCTCACCCCCATTTTTATCACTCTCCTCTTTTTTACTGTTCCCTTACACAATTTGTTCTTTTCTTTTTTGCATCCCATGTTTTAACAACCCCCTTAAACCTGTCATACCGGCGTGAAGTGTCCCCTTTCTGAACGTATTTTTTTTTTTGGACTTTGTTGTTTCATGTAAATTGTGTGTGTTTGTCGATCCTGCGGAGTTACGGGAGGGCTATTGCCTCGTCCGTTCTCTTGTCTGGAGTTATTTCTGTAGTTGTTCAGTGTAATTTGCTAATGTTTAATATTAAATACTGAAATGAATAAATAAATATCTTGTAGCTCATTTAAACTGTCTAGAATCCACCAATTTACAAATACTGGTTTTTTTTCACACACCGTAGGGGGGGGGGGGGGGCTAGGGTTAAAGTGCAAAGAAAACTATACATCTGTCGAGAATGAGATCATGCACCTTTGAGTACTTTGCACCCGATTATCTTCAACGAAGACTGAAAGGAAAGGACCCCCTTTCAGTTGTAACCCATCTCGCCCAGCTTTCAAGCAAAACGCACAAGAAAAAGTAAAAGCATTTTTGTGCATGCATATATGAAAACAAGAAAACAATCCAAACGTTAAATTGAGTGTACTTGCAAAAATCTTATTTTTCGCGACTTTGCCATACAAAATCTTGGTATAGGCCTATATGTGTATGTGATGGGAAACTATAGTTAAACATTAAAACATTACAATTACTAGTTGAACATTACAATTACTAACTTATCTCTAGCTTGTAATTTCCTGGAAATCATGCAAAAGTCCAGGAATTGTCATCTATTTTCTGTTGTCAGACTGTTCTTTTATTTCATCTTGATGTCTCACTGTTGCATGTATGCCCTGTAATAAAGGTTTACACTTCAAAGAATTAAGCTGCCTTTGGGCGCCTAAATTAAGCAGCATACGGAATGCAGGACGCTCAAATGATGAGTCTAAATCATTAAAGATACTGAGTCTATCATAAACAAAACTGAATCAGTTAAAAGAAATAGACAAAAATTAACCTGCTAACTTTATCATAGTCTGAGTAACACTTAATAAAGTAAAACAAAGTTACATCATTAACAGCATGAATCTCAACACCACGGAATTATTGTCATTTTTGTGTCTATAGTAGTCTTCTTCTAATACGGTTAGTCGTAAAATGAAAACGTGGTGTTTAGATTAATATATCGTTTTAGTTTCAGTTCAATGCCATGAATCAGTAAGCTTTTTTTTGTAGAGTCAAATAATAGGTGTGTCAAGTCAAACAGAATTTGCTTCAGGTACTTTTGGGTTCATTTTGTGAGAACTTACAACATACAATGAGTGAGAATTACAGATTACACACAGGCATTCAAATTCAAATGCGATTTTAATCATTTGAGTCAAGACTGAAACATTAATTTTCTGCCAGATTTTTACTGTCAGATTTGAATATGGGGAACAAGTCAACCTTTGTTTCTGAAATATTGACTGCAATTTTTTTTTTATGTTTTCCTTTGCAAGTTTTCGTTTAGTCATGGCGGTGGGAAAACGTTCATGTTTCATTGTTCTTAAAACGGTAAATGATGCATTGGTGGACAACTGAATTTTGTGATCTTTTTATTGAAATAGACATAACTTAAGAAAACAGTATGCAAATTACGTGAAATTGTCACGGTTACTAGTATTATATTTTTTTAAATATGTTTTCTATGATTTCCATATTTGACCATTACGACATATGATAAAAAGACGAATTTAGGTCAGGTCATTTCACTACATAATTATCGAGTCGTTCATTGGCTTTGAAGCTAAACATCTAAAAGATTAAAAGGGTTGCAAAAAAAAAACACTGTGAAAATTTAACACCTAAACGTTTATGTAAACACAATAGATTCAAATATTGTTCAGCATCCAATCTTCAAATCTGCAATGATATTACTGAAAACGCACATCAGTGCATTGGTACTATCTACAATTTGCTGAGTTCCTTGAAATAACAATGTCATCAAAGCTATGAAATCAAATTAAAATCAGCAGTGTCATTTGTATCTTAATGCTTTGAAGCATCTAGGCACTGATAATCTTGTTGACTGTTTGCGACAAGCCGGCCGCATTGATGGCCGTCAATGTCAAGTGGTAGTCGGTGTACGGAACCAGCCGCGAGACATTCATACCAGACTCCATGGTCTCCACCCACTGCATGACGTCACTACCACCTGGGATGGTACCCAGAGATACCTCATACACCAAGGAGGACGAAGGGGAAGAGAACAAGCCACCCCAGGCAAGATCGACCGTCGTGTTACTGGGCCAGGAAGATCGTAGCAGACTTGGCGCTGTTTCATAAAGAATCATCAATCAAAAGGCAGGTTTTTATGTGAGATGGTTATGTTTATAGTTGGATTTTAGGGGATCGATGGGACTTTCACAATGGTTCCCGGGAAAGTTGGACTTTGTTTGCACCAACCCATAAGCAGAAACCATTCAGGGATTTGAAATAATCTTAGTGTCATTACCATTCTCGACAATATACCATTTGGACATTGAGCCGCCTCGTTTGGGTAGATGAATAAGTGGCTGAATGTGAAACCTGATAAAGGTATTCTCATTAAGCAATGGTGTTTATGTACCAATCCCGTTTTGAAAACTATCGTGAACAGAAAACTGAAATACTGAATTACATACGTCCTACAACAGGCTCCGAAGACTCCACAGTAAAGTTGCTTGTGATATGCTGACTGATCAGACCGGCATGATTGATAGCTCTGACTGACAGGCTATAGGTTGCATCATTAACCAGGCTAAGACCTGACCAATCAAGGTGGGTCTCTGATGTTGATCCACAAGGTGTCCAGGAGGTGAAGGCGTTGGGTCCACTAAGCAAGCACTGGGAAGAGAAAACGTAATTGATATCAGGACAAAGACTAAAGATACATCATAACATTCTTTGGAATATGTTGCCAAATATAAAACAAACAACTCTAATTGTCTATCCCTCTCGCCGTATCTTGCGCTCTTTACTCCAGCTGGATCTGTTGTTATTTTGACATCGCTGTAGTGTGTAACTCGATGTATTATATACTGATCAGAGCAGAAAGGCATTACGAGTTATGCGGTGCCTCCACACTGTACAATTTGTACTGACCTCATAAGAGTGAATTCCGAACGGATCCATGAAGCCAACCCATGATGCTTTGAGAGAGTGACTCTGAGACTGGTATCCGTCGCGTGATTCGTATTGAGTATCTGACATGGTCTTCACAATGACAGCTGCTGTCGTAGAACCAGGAGGCACCGTCACTATTGTAACACCATCTGATGATTTCCACGATGACTGTTCAGCATGATTGTGGCACGTGACGGTTACGTACAGGCGCTGGCCCTCTACCATAATTTGAGACAGACTAGCGGTGATGCTGGACGTGGCATCAGGAGACGATGACATGGGTAGGATGTCATCCAGTCCAGGCCCTGAGCCTGAAAAATGAATATGCAGGGTAATAGAGTACAGATGCAGTATGCCTACAAACTGTCCTTTCGTAGGCTGATTGATGGTGGGGAACTTCAGATGTCTATATAATCATCAACAACAATCACTGTAAAAGCTTAAAACGACACAAAAGCTAAATATCAGATGCTAATTACCAGATGCATAGTTGGGATTGTAGTTGGCCAAATGAGGGTCGTAGAGCAATATTGTGAGCTTTCAAAATTATTTGGGTAAGATATCCTGATTACTTTATCAGAGCGGACAATGCCTTACTAAGAGACAGGTTTTTGCCAAAACGTCACGTGTTATATTTTGCTGAATGTCGGGTAATGACCACAGGGTCATCAGGTGTGTCAACCAATCGTAGGATGCTTAATTGACTACGATGACTATGAAGTTAGGTTGTAACAGAGGGTTGGTTGCAAATTATACAGCTAAAGTTCAGACACTGTCCAATTCAGGGTCAGATCTCTGACAGCCAAACCTACAGTGCCAACTTGTACAACATAAATACTATACTAGATAGATGGTTAACAAAAGGTGTCAATGAACCTTAAGTGTGATGATCAAAAAAGATGGGGGTTCCGATCTGCTTACCAACTGCCCATGTGCAGTGATCAATTCCACTTTCAGGATCAGACGCCGACCAGCTGAAGGTCAGAGCAGAATCATCTGCACTGAAGTCAACATCTGTCATGGGGGGAAAGTAATTCTCAATGAGGCGGTTGTCTATGTTTGTGCAACTTAATACATATTGTTTTGGGTTGTTTGCGGGTGGATGTGTCAGTTACAGATTTTCACGGCTTTAAAAATTATGAAAGACAAACTAAATATCTTCAATTTCAGATCTCAATTTCATGATTATAAAAATAAAGTATACGGCTTTTACAGTCAAAACAGTAAACAATAGTGAGTAGTATTCCACCTTACCCCTACAATTTTGCTGTCGGAGTTGCTAAAGTCACAGTCACCCCGTTAAAAACCGGGGTTCTACAACCGTAAATCTGAGGAATATTCACAATTTCTGTTTGATTTTCATGCGAGAAGTCGAGGAGATATATTGAACGATTCATAGCCAGGCAGAGAATTACTAAAGGATCATATGGAAATCGCAAAGGGATTAAAGATTCATTATATACCATTTAAATCCCTTCCGTCAGCGACAGCATGGATGATAGGAGGGGTCAGATCAATCACTACCGGGTCAGAGGTCGCTCTGGTGATGAGGTCGGCTGCATTTCTTGCAATCACAGTAACGTAGACTCTGGAGCCATGTGCCATTCTAAGGTTACTGTTCATAGCGTCTGTCTGTGTACCAACCGATGTGAATGTTTGTAGTTGGGTACCGCCTCTCGTAGTTCCTTAGGAGTAGTAACATAAAAAAAATTAACATTTAAGTTTCCTGTTATGTTCATAAAAATAGCTCTAGGAAGTATCTATCTCAGGTAGGTTGGTCTGGCAGGATACCATAGTATTATTTTTTACAACACAATACTTTCCTATGACGGTGTCATGTTTTGGCAAATGTAATAGGCCTAGGTATAAACATTGTCAGTTACCGAGACATAAATGACAATATGTAGGACTAAGGTACATCTTCAGTTTTTGAGATCATTAATCGTTAACAGAAACCAAGGCTGTTGTTAGTGGATAGACTATAAGACTCAACCTACCTATGGCCCAGCTGTAGTCCACTATGGGACTCTCGGGATCAATGAAATGCCACTTGGCCTGGACTGATGACCAACCTTGACTGATGTGAGTATGGACTTCTACAGCCCCATCACCGGTGCTTTGTCCAAGGGTGATCCGTTTTACCTAGGTAAAGAAGACATTAAATTTAAGGTTCAAAAAGTAAATGTCAGAAACGAATACTGAGGAAAAAGTTGCGAGTGAATGAATTCAGACCTTAATGTGGTATATAGTACAGGTAGTTTGAGACATGCTGGTATTTTTTGTTCAAATGGTGCTGTAACTAATAAAATGGGAGTATTATTTGGTGGGCACGTGTGGTCTTGCAGTAGAGCATAGGATTCATGATCGTGAGATTGTGGGTTCGAGCCCCGCCCTGGCCATGCGTGTTGTGCACTTGAGTAAGGCGCTTTACCTCAATTACTCCTCTCAACCCATGTGTTAAATGGGTACCGGTATTATTCAATGCTGGAAAGGTAACAGACTCGCTTTGGAGGAGGTGTGGCGATCCCCCCCCCCCCCCCCACAGCAGCATAATTATGAGTCTGGCCAAATCGCTAATGAAAGAGAGATTGGCACTCCTGTAAACACAGGTTCGTCCCCCTTTACCTTTATTAATTGATTAATTTATTGGATTTGAACGTTGAGATATTAATGGATGGTAACAATATATATGAATCTTATTTAGTCATGTTGCTTATGTGGTACACCACTTAGAATGATTTAGGTGTGTGTATCTCAAAACTCTTCAGAGCCAACTTTAATTTATGTGTGTTGGTTTTCACCTGAACATCATCCAATAGGATTCCATTGGATTGTCCCACTGAGGAGATTTTCAATGTTGAGACATCGTCACTGGCTGTGAAGTAAAATCTGTGCTGCTGCCATCGGACGGACCTCAGACTTTGGTCTGAGTGACCGTGTGCTGGCCGGTCATACAACCTGAAGACACGATTCAATCCTGGTGCCTCAATGCGACCTTCCTGGTTAAGCAAAGGGTTGTGGGATGGCACGATGTGACTCGCGAAGATTACAGCCTGGTAGTGGCTGCCCGATGTTGTGTTGAAGGTTTGGGAGATAGAGCCATGAAGAGACAGGAAAGAACGACCATCTTGAGCAATCGTCTCCCCAGAAGCAACCAGGGCTATCTGGCTGTTAGACCAAACATCCCACTGCAATAGTTGCTCATCTTGTCTACTGCTGGAAAAATACTCACTGCTTGTTGACGGTATTTCTTCAGTTGTCAAATCGGAATCTGATTGTCAATAAAACGTGATACTCGGATTTATAATTCTCAAATTATAGAGATAACGGTGTTACAAAGCAAGTCTTGATTTGTTTTCATCTGTAGCAGTTGAAATTTGTCTGCGTTCTTTAGTCATAAGTTTTTTTTTGAAATGCATAGTTTTCAAGAGCATTTATACTCACCTCGGTTTCCCGGTTTCTGCATGTTTTCAAAGGATGGATTCTGAATCAAGTTATCCCCAAAGTGGATGTGTTCTAGGGGCTCAGGGGCCGTGGTGTCCACCACAAACCCATCTGAAGACACTGTTACAGACTGTAGGCCGGCAGCATCAACTGCTGAGATCTTCGAGAAGTACCGTATTCCTGACAAAGATAGGAATTGAATCCATTGTTACTGGTTAACAGTAACATAAGTGTACATACTATCCATTTCCTGAAGCTTCGGGGATCAGAGTTGTTGAACGCATGCTAACTCTGCTTCCTGTTTAAAAAGAATAATTATTATAACTCTGAAGGATATTGAATCAACCAAACCAGGACCATAAACCTGTTCAAAACAAATTATACGATACCAATTAATCGAAATCCCAAGGCAATTTTCTAAGAATCTTCTTGAATCCGCTAATTATTTAATTAACATCTCTCACTGTGCATGAAAGCTTGCCACATTCTTTGATATTTATTTGAAATCCCGGGGTATCTGGCTATAATAATAATAATAATAAAAATAACAATTTATAAAGCGCTTTTACAAAATAGAACAAAGCGCTGTACAAGAGAGGACTAGGATGTTATGAATAAGAAACTTTTAAGACGTTTCTTGAAAATGGTGAGAGATGGGGCGTCCCTGATGTTGATGGGAATAGTGTTCCATAATTTGGGGCCTGCTATTGAAAAAGATTTGTCTCCAAGGGATTTTGAACTTGTAGGAATAGAGAGAAGAAGTTTATCATTGGAAGATCTTAATCCCGGTCTGCCTGGTTGATACAACGTGAGTAAGTCACACAAGTAAGGAGGAGCAATATCATGTAGGCACTTGTAAACCATCAGAAGAACTTTGAATGATATACGCTGCTGGATGGGTAACCAGTGAAGATTGGTGATGAGAGAAGTAGCATCCACAGTGCATTTGACAGAGAAAATGAGCCGAGCAGCACGGTTTTGAATTTTTTGTAGTCTATTATGTTATTAAGTAACAGTGCCTGGGCTACACCTTCTCCTCTCCTGTAAAATCCCTAAAACTTTCTGGAAAATTTTGAAGATTAAGAATCTGTAAGCGCTACAAACAAAAAGCTGCTTGATTTAGGTTTTTACCATTTGCAAGAGGTACTGATAGACCCTTGGAGGCAGACAGATGGATTCCAACATCGGTACAGGGCAGAATGCCATCGTCTTCAGGGCTAAGAGTCTGACCAACGCACCACTCATAATGGTCTATGAAGGATTCCAGATCCACAAAGCCATGCCAGGAGGCTGAGATTACCGTGCTGGAGTTCTGGTACTCGACATCATGAAGACCTGGAATGAACGAGTAACAACGACGTATTAACTGGAAAAAGTGTGATTAGTTAAGATGCTTTTCGCTTGCAGCGAACATTACTATTGAAGATCAAGCCTTCAGGTAATTATAAATGGAATGACCTAATGCAAACGAATATTATATTTCCTTGAGTTTGCTTCGAATGGACGACACCGCGGGAGTATCAATCTCCTATGTAGAGAAACTGTTGATTCTCACCATAGTACGACATTTATTAGTGGAGCATCCAGCCAGTGGTTTTGGATACTCACTGCAGCAATGTTGTTTGAGTGTGACCAAGCAAGAGAATTTTGGGGACAATTTCAGTTATTTCAGCTGTGTAAACCAGTTGCGTGTTGTACGGAAAAATGGCAAAGGACTATAACCTAACGAATTCGTTCAAAATATAAACGCAAAATCAGCCATGATGCTCAAAAATGAAATGCTGGTTTCGTCAAGTTATTTAAACACCCGTCTCTCCTGAAGACGGTCAGAGCAAACTGACCGGAAAGTCGAGTTTATACCTCTGGTTCTTTTCAAAACCATTCTATTAGTTTGAGAAATTATTCCCACATGGTGTTTCCGTAAACCTTTCATTCATTAGTATCTCTAACATGCGAAGCCTCAAATCTTACTTGGTTTCGTAAAATAAGTTTAAAAAATGGAAACTCAAACCTATTCCATCAAAAACCAAGCCTGGATCTGGCATCCTCGAGTCCACCACGAAACCGTCACTGCTTTTGAGCGTGTGCAGACCGGCTTTGTTAAAAGCCCGTACGTTGCTGTAGTATCGCAGTCCACTCTGAAAGTTAATGTTGGTGAAACTCGTGTTGGCCGACCCAGTGGCATGGAAGATGTGATCTGCAAACTGACGAATATCTTCACCTGAGAAACAGAACAATGATAGGAAGTTTTAAGGTATCGAGGTTGTTTCTCGAAATCAAGGTTGCACTGTATGATACAAAGGATCAATCTATTAAACCCCTAGTAGAAACTGTCTTGCAAAAACTAGCTTTCGCAAAGGAGATAATTCCCTACACTTTAGCTTTGGTAACCTTCATTGTGAGGATAAGATCTTTAACTGACTTCAAAAGGTTGAGTGTCCTAACCTCCAGGATAGGTACTGAGAGACACTTGGTAGTGAGACAGAGCTTCGTCTAAAAACACTCCATCCCAGGAAATGTAGATCCCATTAGGATCTGTCAGGTAATCGGTGTCTTTCTGCGCATCGGATGTAGCAAGATCTTTTATCTGGAAACAGAAAAAAAAAATTATTTGAACTGACTTTTTTAGATTACAGACTTTCAGAAGACAAATGCTGCAGCTATAATTTATGGAGTTTGTTAGTACTCAGTAGAATTGCTCCGTGTAAATATGGCTTAGAATGTTTACATTTTTAGTCTGGTTTTCTCAGATTTTTTTTCTCACAAACAATATTTCAATGGTTCAAATTTATCGAATGTAACATTAATTAAGGGTCTGAACGACAGTGTTAGAATTATTAAAAGGACCATTAATACTGTAAACATATAAAGACAGGATACCTTAAATGTGGTTAAGGAACCAATAAGAAGACATGTTTACAGTCTTATGCCTAGTAAATTCAACTCAATCCTTGGAAATTGGAAGCTTAGAAATTCACAAATGATGAAGAATTCACGCATAATACTGGTTACCATTCCCATATACTTCAGACAGGATGAGATTCAAACCGGATACCCGGGTAGCACGCAAAGACATTTCGTCAACTTATATCCCTCTTCAAATTCGCAATGTTGTGATTAATTATTAGTCCCTCACCTTGGTGCCTTTGATCGTCGAGATTTTTGGCGGTGTAATAGAAGGTGTAATACCGTCTGATCTGAACACTGCGTATGTGTTGGCGTCATACCAGGCCCGGATGAAAACATGATACTTGATTCCTCTCAGCATCTTGTGGTCTGTACAATAGATAAGATAGACATAAATATTATTCGACTAAACAACTCGGACAAAGGATTATGCAACATATGTGTTTCAAAACAAATAAATACAAACACGATACGGTAATGCCTAGCTGTCAAAGACGGCATCTAGAAGTGGAAGATTGCGCAAAGGTAACCCAAACCATAGAGATTACTGCAAGATAACACCAATGGTAATATAAAATAACATAGTATTCACAAGTAAAAGAGGAAGACAAACAAAGTCAAGATGACAAGTGCAAGACCTATTTTATTTTGTTTTTCTAAAATTCTTGAAACTATTCAGGTTCAATTAGAAACGACTTTCCGCCTAAAATTAAAGTAAGAATTACATTATTTGTATAGTTTCTTGATTTCGCCTTCACAACGTTCACCACCACAACCCTAATATCATGTTTATGATGTTACGTTGATTTCATTTTGAAAGTTGAATAGCGGCTTTGAACTACACAAACGAACAGAATTATCATGTATGCAAAGTTGGTTTATTCAATCTGCAGTACCTCACGTACCTTCATCCAATGTGATAATAGTAACATTGTCCTGTCCTATATCGAACCATATCCTTTCTTTCACTGGATCAAAGACTCCCACTGGATCTGATGAAGAGTCATCACCAATGCTCCATTCAAACCTGACAATATTAGAGTATATAAAGAGTAACGATAAGGAGTATCTATTAGTGTATCACAGAACGACAAATCTCATCAGTTAGGTATGTTGCAGATTTCATATCACTATCCGACTACTACAGGTCGATTCAAAAAGAAGCTGACCCAAATTAATGATTTTGTTTCTTAAAAAAGTAATAAAATTGGAAGCGCCAATAAAATATATCTTAAAGGTAATGAAAATGGAAACACCAATGAATAATACATATTATAAAAGAGCATGTTCTTCCACTCATTAAAAAAAAAAGAATTACTGAATTTGATCCATGCTATCAGAGGTTATGCACATTTCACTGAAATAACCCATTTTTGTATAGCAGTCCATGGAAATGCCATTGAAGCTATTGAGCTGAGTGAGAATTACAGATTACACAGAAGCATTCAAATATTAATAAGATTTTATTCATTTAAATTGAGACTGCAACAGTATTTTTACTGTCAGATTTTGTGTCAGAACATGAGGAGCAAGTCGTCCATATTTTATTGCATTTAATGGGTATGCATCATTTCGTAGAATGGTAAATGATCAGTGGTGGACAGCTGATTTTTGTGATCTTCATATTGTAATGGACGTAACTTGACGTAACTTTTATGAAATAGAGCGAGCCACATATTGCTTTTTGTATTTCTTTTTTAATTTAGTCAATGACACTTTCTTTTTGACTCACCCTGTATAGATACTATCTATCATGACTACTATCTGACTACTATCTATCATTTCCAGATGTCTGAGCTAGCTCTCATTTATTTACCCCCGTAGCTTTGATACACTGAATAACCAGTAATTATTTATAATGCCTTTAATACAACATATTGTATTTCTGCTTTTAGATATACAAATGTGTACAAGGAAATAGTCTCATTCATATCTCATTCATAATTCGCGTTATTATTGATACCAATTGCGATATGTATACTCCTACCCACCATTTGATATCCAGTCCCTTCTGCTCAGTTACGTGCCATACTGCAGCTGCTGTATATTGAGTAGTAGTCTCATCAATATCAATCATGGTATCGATATCGTCATGCATCAGATTCATTACATCAAGAACTTCTAGCTCGGTGTTGGGATTTCCTAAATAGCAGTGCAAAATTGGTTAAGACAATGATTGTGGCACTACGACTTAACGCCTTAAAAAGATTCGGAATGCAACAAATTATTCTAGTATGACTAAAATGTTTTTTTTTTGGCGTTTTACAAAGATAAGATACTGATACAGGTAGTAAAAAAAAACAATTAGGAGTTATCTCGCATGGGCGTCGCCAGGGTTTTTTTCGGGGGGGGGGGGGGGGCAAGCACATTCCCCCCCCCCAAAAAAAATCCTTGTATTTTCGCTAGCATTTTCTAAATTTATTATTTTTTTAACTTATTTTTTTGCTTTTCCGGGGGGGGGGGGGGCGCTTTCCCTTGCCCATGGTATCTGTAGGTGCATCCTATTACTATAGATTCAATGCTGATGTACAAAAGTATCTTAATGTCGGTGTTTGCTTCATAAATAAGCAACTCTCTGTTTATTTCTTTATTCAGATTTGCTAGCACAAACAATTCACACATAGGCCTACAGTATTTGAATTTGTGAAAATGTCGCTAAAACTGCATGATCAATAGTCTTAACAAACAAATCTTGTCATTAACAAGTACATTTAATTTGCTTACTTCCCCTTCAACAATACCTTTCACTAAATCTCACTATTGTTTTCAAACTTTTATCTTGTATGAAGTCATTAGGAAAGCGTTCAATAGTTTAAAGCCAAGGAAACCAAGGAAGGCTGTTTTTGAAAAAGAACCTGCAACGGAACCCTACTTACTGTCGGTGACATCAGTGCAATACTGGGCTGGATTACATGTTCTATCCATAGGTGCACAGGCACAGTGGCCCTCGCATGTGGTAGGTGAGCAGCGCCGAAGCAGGACAAGAGCGCCCTCATCTGGTGAAGTGTGAGAAACCTCAAAAGTGGAATGATGACGGCCGCTTGGTATCCCAACCTGGGAAGTCATAAAGAAACCGGAGTGATCAAATGAAAATGAGTTAACCGTTGGAAATACGCTTTCCCAATTGTTACACATTGAGTCACCCTAAGTTACTGTTGTAGCACCGCTACTCCTACTCAAAACACGTGACACACTGAAGTCTCCTTCTTCTTGTGGGAAGCACTCGTACTTGCACTCGGGTACACGTTATTGGTACATTGGTACATTTGCAGCGCTGTGCGCCTACTATCACGGAAAACAATTTTGTACTCATACTCGTACTCGTACTCGTACTCATGGCAAAGTGTTCCTACTCGATACATTTGGTTTTGCGCCACCGTGGAACAATGTGAAATGGTTTGAGGCCTGTATTGTCGACTGAGGGATTTTTGGCACAACTTCACAAATCTTTATGTTTTGCCTCTTATACAAAATTTGGCTGTTTCCTGGTGTGTGCGTTTAATAATTTGCAAATGATAATTAGATTGTTTTTACCCCATTAACAGCCCAGAGCGAGATGTAGAGATATGGATGAGGTAAGTCTACTATACTGCCCTCTAGCGGTACGATGGCAGTCTGTGCGATGCCTTCATCCATAGACATGCCTTCGTTGCTGTGGTTTACACGGATTGGACCATTCTGGCGAAAACAAATTTTGAGTTAAATGTTTAAGTAACAAAAGTACTGGTGAAAAAAAGTAATAAAACAGTTTTTTTTTTAAATAAAATGGCTAGGAATGAGAAAATTTAGCACACACAAATAAATTTAAAAGGTAAAATGTGTGATTGTAAAAATTAATCCAATTCAAGAACAAATTAAAGGAAAAAATACAATATAATTTGAAAAAAAGGGTGTGTTTTTTTGACAAGAATATTGCATAAAAAATGTAACATACTTAATTTTGTTATGTTCATACTGACAGCAATCTCACACCATATCTTTTGTATATTTCAACAAAATCATAACATTACCGGAGTGACTTCAGAGCCGCCATATGTGCGTCCGACGGAGATCAAGTAGTGGCTGATACCAGAGTGTACATCAGCAAATCCCAGCCAGGCAAGGGCTAAGGAACCAAGGGATGTACGGGGGTCTTCTATCCAAGTCATCCAGCCAGAGAGGTAGGGTGGGAGAAATGGGGTAGTCGGTGGAGTCTCTGTGGTAGAGTTGACTGAGTCGGTGGTGTTGCCGACTTCAGCGGTTGAGTTGGTGGATGAATCAGTGGTGTTGTCGAAATCAACGGCTGAGTAGGTTGAGTCCGTTGTGGTTGGAAGATGGTGTGAAGGCAGTGGGGTGCCCAGTGGTGTCTCGGTGGTGTTAGCAACATCAGTAACATTAGGCTGTGTTAAGGTTTGAATAAAAAAAGCCAAATATTTACCCGAATTCTTTTTCAGTGACTATACAAGTGTAACCAATACTGAAAGTATAAGGTAAAGTGGCCAATTATTGACAAAAACGGACATTTGATTTTCCTGCTTAAACCATATTTCTCTTTAGCAATACTAAAAAGGGGTTGAAAGCCTTCAACTTACAAACAAAACTCATTTCTATGTACCTCTCATTATGTATATATACTCTACTAAAATATCTAGCCTTTCCCTTGGCAACATTAGCGAAATAGTAAAGAGACACACAAGCACGCCTACATTTATATGACATGTTACATAAAATATTGTTAATAGGCGGCTACTTCACAATGTTTTCCCCATCATTTCGACAGTTAACATACTAAATAATAACATGAAGAGTACTATCGCAAACTCACGGTTGTGTTTAGCTCATTCGGTCGAGTAGTTTCACCAAATTCAGTTGGGTCAATCCAGGTGATATGATGCCTATCCAAGTTAGCAGCACTCTCCGTACCAACGGCAAATGTGCCAACGGACGGTGGACTGCCATCGACCTGAGGAAGATAAATTCCAAAATTGTTAAATTACAATGAATGGTTTTATTTAAATATTTTAAGTGTCTCGATACCGTCGACCAAACGAAACAGTGCATTACTGATTGGCCTTATCTTTTTATGCAAACTCACTCATATTGGTTAATTATGGCCATAACGAGCCTTTAACTAGGGTGACCAGGACTTTCAAAAGAATCATTTTAATTGTTAAGACATGATGCAACTTTAAATTGGTTAACATAATTCGATATTATGTAGTGGATGCCACCTACTAGTACAGGTTCTGTCTGGCTATCTATGCAAAGACCAGCGAAGTTGCAAGCCACCACGGTCACGATGTAACGGCTGCCTTCATGTAAAGTCAGATTAGTGAATGTGTGATCCGACTCGCTCCCTGCTATCTGAGAAGTGATAAAAAAAACCCAAGAAAATTTGATTTGCTTTCCTTTTGGATACTTTTTATACAATTTGGGCAAGCAGGAAAAATATGATTTTTTTTTCAAAACATATGTTTCCTTCCAGTTGTTAAACATTTTGTACCACCAACGGTAATTCTGTTAATTAACCTACTGGTCTTTTCCAGACAAAACAAAAGGGTTTGGTAAATTTAGCTGCTGCAGGCAAGCTCAGTCACAGTCAACTTCTTTGAAAACAAGTACCTCTAATGTAGGTATGTTGACATCTCCGTTGTGGTGAGTGCAGACGGATATGAACTGGTTTTTAATACCACTCTCAGGGTCAACGAACTTCCATGAGCAGTGAATCACATCCCGCATGATCTAAACAAAGAGTATTAGAGATAGGCATTCATGCAAGCATTTGAGAAGGACGAACGACTACAGAAATCACAGCAAAAGTAAGAAGACTTCCTCTGTTACACCTAATATCAACAAAAACCTTTAGGGCCAACATTGAAACACTGCAGACAATACACCGTGAAATGCACTGCAAAATACATGACAAAATACACACATTTTGATCTTACTTGAGTGTTTTTAACATCCATCTCCTGCATCTCACCCACAGCAGGTGTATCCACCACATCAGGTGGGCTAGAGTCCACACGGAACCCATTAGACGTAGCCTGACTCCACAAACCGAGCCGGTTATAGGCGCGCACCGTGATGTAGATATCGGCGCCGATCGGCAACTGGTCTGAGTCTGACAGGAATATCAGGGCATCCCCCGACAGCTCAATGCGCGTAGAGGGGAGAATGTCCTCAGCTCCCGGTGTCGTGCCAGCGTGCCATTCGTAATGTGAAAGGCCGGAGTGAGGGTCGTGGAAGCCCCACCAATGAGCACGCAGCTGCAGCCTGTCGAAAAACCATTCAGTACATGTGCACAATCGAAACTTAAAAACCTGAAACTTAATAACAGCAGGGCTTAGGTTTTGGTAGAGGGGCAAAAAGCCAGGAGACCTCATCACGCAACACAAAAGGCTTGCTGACTGAATTGAGTTGAATTGCAAAGTCAATATAACTACAACCCAGATGTCTGTGGTCAAAAGTTGGTAGACCTCATTCCGCATTGCCAACTAAGAAATGGTAAATCACTGCAAATACTTGAACGACGTACAAGTTTATCCTAGTGTCAATGGCGTCTCCTAGGTTTCTTAAAGTAGTTTTGCGAAACGTCTATTTTGAGGTTCAATAACAACCAGATGAATATTGGTAATATGTGGGGAAAAACGCAATTAAAACCTGAGTAAGACATGAAATTGGGCAGTGGTTCACCTATTTCATGTTAACCTGTGAGGAATCGAAAGTGAAAACAATTATTATTAATTAATCAGCACTTTCACCAGCCATATCACCAACTTTATTTTTGTTAGAAAATCATCTTATGCTTTGTGTGTCCTTTTGAAACAGTTTACTGGGCACATTAAAATAAACATAGGAAATAACGTAGAAATAATATTTCCCTCGTGCCTGTCAATACAGGTCAGTAAACTTGAGATAGGTGAACAGGTTTATGTTGAACAGAATACAACTTTCAGTAAAAGTTAGGGAAAATGACTAAGCCTATTTTCCCAGGATAATTAGTTACAGGACGGCATGCTAGCATTTCTAGAAGGCCTTTAATGTGGACCTGAAAACGGCACTAATGAATTGGAAACCAACAGTATAGGGGTGCGGGTAGATATATAGCGATAGTGCAGTCTTGATGCTAAGCTCCATTTCCTGCTTGAACCATTTCCTGCTGTACAATCAAATCTATTGGGTGAAGCCGGTATCAGTGTAGTGTCCTGCCTCTTCGTGTGCTTTAAACAGTTTAGGTTGTTGGGTGAAACACTCTCCAATCTAAGTAGTTCAATGTATCGTTATTCACCTTGAAGACTGATAACTGATGTCACCACCCCCAGGACCGCCATCATACACACGCCCTGGCACTGGTGGAGAGTCATCAACAATAACCCCATCAGAGCTCACTGAGGTACAAAGGTTTGCTGCGTTACAGGCTGTCACTGTCACGTAATAGGTCAGACCAGGCACAAGGTTCAGACTCTCAGCTAAAACACCTGTAAGCAAAATATATACATACCGATTTTCTGTAACTTTAATCTCTCTGGACCGCCAAACCCCTAGTCCAGTGTAAAATTGCAAAATATTTCCAAGACAGTAATCAAACACAAACATTGATTTCCTTTATATTGAAAGTGGATGACAAACATTTTTTTAAAGACCCATGTGCATGTACGCACTACAATCATTTACAGGAATGTTAAATTCGTATTTGAAATTTACCTGTATCCATGCCAACATGCTGCTCAGGTACGACATCGCTACATCCTGGACATGTACCAGCTCTCCAGAAATAGCCAACAATGGCGCCGTGAGGGTCATGAAATCCTTCCCATGAAGCCCCGATCATTCTGCGATCCTCCTGGAAGTCTCGGTCTCTGTGATTGGCTAGAACAAGCGCTGGGTTTCCATCAAGGACTTGGCCGGCCAATGGCGAGCTTGCATCAACTGTGAAAGCTCCGTAACTCTTCATAGAGATCAGACCAACTCTGTTAATGGCCTAGAAGGGAATGGCAACAGTTCAGAAATGTGTCATTAATTTTAAAATGTTAAGGGATCAGATGCTTGGATCCTTGCAGGATCTGTCTCAAAGGCAACATGACATTGGCACAATAACAAAACAAGTATGAACGCTTTTGTAACAAAAGGTTAATTTCATATATAAATAAATAAAGGTTAACAATTTCATTATCACGGCCATGAGTAGGGTTCTTTTTACCGTCATAATCATTCAAGTAGTTCCAAGGCCTTAGGCAATACTTACCTTTACAGAAACGAAATACGAGTGACCTTCTAGTAGAAATAAAGGTCTGGAAGGGTCACTGACTCCGTTTTCTGTACTCTCTCTGGTAAATGGCATGATGTCTGCATGACCTGGATGCGAACCGACGGCCCACTCATAATACGATACGCCACTATCCTTGTCTGAGAATACATTCTCCCAACTGAAAGAAGAGCAGCAAAACGTCACTTATGGATTGAAATAGTCACAGTCTGTCCATTATATTATGGAGTTTCAAAGTATCAACTTTTGATGTTGTGCGCTGACAAAGACATCAACGGTCATTGCGCAGGCCGAAAATTATCACACGTAAAAATAAGTAGCGTTTATGCCTTCAGGTAGTTGCCCGGCAGCAGTTTTTCCCCATGCAGTTCGGGTTTCCGTATATTCTGATTTCTCCATAACAGGCAAATCTGATGCTTTTTTTGTACACAACACAAGCCCAGGATAATTTCTAAGTGAAGTAAGAAATGATTCAATCCTCATTTATGTCAACTTAAAGTTAGCATTAGAAGTATAAGCACGAACAAAGGTTCTCTCGGATAAACCGATTAGAAGTCACGTTTACTTCCCCCAATCCGCGAATCTGTGATTTAAAAACCTTGTTTCTCATGTGGTTCTGTTGCTTGTTGGAACAGTTGTCTCTGTTTATCTGTTTTTGTTGTTGATGTAAAATTGAATCCCTAAAACAGCATATCATCATATACACGTCTTTTTTTTAACCACCATTAGGCAAACACCAGCCATATCTATGGTACCCCGGAAAGCTTCAATATTGGTTGGGAAAAGACATAAGCCTATGGGAATCTTTTTTTCCGTAAGGAAAACCATCAGAGCAATATGACGGTAAGTCAAGTCTCTTGTTACTACCTTGCCGAGATAGAAGTTGTAGACCGGATGAAGCTGCCTCCAATGTCCAACATATAATCAGCACTGACGATTGGAGGTGACGTATCAATGATGATTGAATCCGACATCGCTTGTGAAGATAAACCGACAAAGTCGGTCGCTAGTTGAAAAAAATAGGTACAATAGCATTTAATTACAATCGGTCAAGTGAACCGTAGTAATATAAACATTGCCAAAGAGTCATTTTTTCAAGACGAATTAAACAAACAATACGTCCCATCTATCTGTTGCACCGATATGGGTAGGCAGTCTTTAGAGCTACAGTGTTTAAGTACACTTTAGTTTACCCCGGCTGGCTTGGAATGTTTTATTGTCCTTGTTTTGGGTCTTTCTATCTTCTTCTCTCTCTCTCTTTTATAACTTGAACCATTTTGTTTTTACCTTGCACCGTAGCATAGTACTGGTGTCCATTCTGTAATCTCAGATTGTGTATTAAAACACTATTGGTGATTCCAACACGTGTGAATCCCATCACGTCACGACCCCCTGGCATCGAACCTGCAATGTTGAAATTTGAGGACAAAACAATTAATTACTACGTGTACTAAATACTTGAATATTGCTGCTGTTTTAATTTGTTGAAAGAAGACGTGGTCAATCTACAAAACATTACATGTATAATGTTAAAATAAGTCAAACACATTCTCAAATAATAAATTGAACCATCATACAGGGTACTCAAAAAAGAAGAAAAAAAGCCGAAATGGGATACTTCCACTACCATGAGACTCAAACCACATAAACCAATACATGGATAATCTTTTTAAAAGAAAAATGAAACCAAGATCGCCCGATTCAGTGCAGTAGTTTTTGTTCTAGAGCCTATTTTGTGAAGCAAGGTGGGGGTCAAGTTTGTCCCGATAATTTACTAAACCTTGCCCGGGAATTTGACTTACATTGTTATTGATAGATGGATTGTTATGAAATAATACCCACATAGCTCTGGAGCAAAAAAATACAGGACCAAATCGGGATATTTTGGTATCATAATTCTTCCAAAGGATTCTCCATCAATTGGTATAGGTGGTTTGAGTCTAAAGGTAGTAGAAGTATGCCGTTCCGGATGAATGCTTCTTTAGATGCCTCTGAAGATCTTGTCATTAAAGATCGATACGGCAGGCCGCTTTATTTCTTTTTAGATTTGTATATTTCAGGTCAATCCAGTCAGTAAGCAGTTTGCAGCAGTCTTATTCATTTTCATAATTCTATAACTATACATATCCATACAGAATCATACAGAATGGTTCCTACCAATGGCACATTCATAGTACTTGATCCCTGAGTGATGTCGTGCCATGCCGTGTTCCTCAATGTCAGTAAATGAATCCCAATGAAGAACCAACTCAGAGCTAGAAGTCTTTCAAAAGGAGACAAATATGACTATAATTAATCAACACCAAAATGCAAGCTTGCACAACCACAAACAAAGCAATTACTTGTCTGAGATGTGAAATGTTTTCATAAAAACCAAATTAACTAGTGCTATGTTACAAATAGCGTTGACGGTTGAGTTAATTGAATGTGTGTAAACAAATAGTTATATTACTTGATAGGTTTGATGCCTGTCCCATCCAATCCACACAGAGCCAGGGGTCGGCGGGGTCGTATCTATGACAACGCCGTCGCTACAGCTAGACACAGCAGGTAGAGGTTCATTCCAAAACTCATGTTCCAAAGTCACTTCATCGGCATGGATGCAGATCCGATAACGTTTCCCATGAACCAGGACCAAATCAGGAACGTTGACAAACTCTTTATCTACAAGATAAATCAAATCCATGTCATGCCCATACCCGCTAGCATGAGCTTCCTATACGTCATCCATAACAGTGACTGGCTTTTAACAAAACAATCGTTAATTTGGATTTTGGAACTGATCGGCAATTTTGTTAGGCGCATTGAGCAGGCTTGCCAACTACTTATTCAAGTGCCTGTGTGTGAAGTATATGCCTAATGTGCGTCGTGGTTCCGCTGCACTGTCTAATGCTGAGCACGATTCACCCCATCGGTTTCTTCAATTCATTCCGAATATTTCCTACCTGTTTCCCCACAGTCCTTCTTCATCGGGTGATCGCAGGGGTAGTGCAGACCATTGTCCAAATTTCCTAATGCATTGGATCCGATGTCTTCAATGACTGCCCAGATATAGGCTCTGTGACGTAGAGTAGGCCAGACTGCTGATAATGAGGACGTAGATGAGATGTAGTTCTTATCTGGTTCCGGCCACAGGGAATTCTGCTCAATGCGTACTTCATCTGTATTACAATAGTTGATAACGATAATGATCTTGGTTTTCAGTTGTGAGTCTTTGGCCTTTCAACTGCATGGAAGGCAATAGACGGCAAAATACAGAGTTGACATGTATGATGAGAGTGCAATATCATGTATGCCTACTTAAACGTGCACGCCTTCATAACTAGAAAAGTAACTTAAATGTTGATTTTGTAACACTGCATACTTACAAAGCTGTACTCAACTTAATGCTAAAATGCCCGTACATTTACATTTTGATTTTTAAAAAATTATGAAAATGTCCCCGTCTACAAGTCTTTTTTCACCAATAGCCAGCAATTTGAATAAAAGAAGTTTTACTGTTGCTGACGATTTTACAGAAAATATCGAGCAACCACATTAAAAAACGATAAAATTATTAAACCTTCAATGTTTATGTTTGCACTAATATTTCTTTATTCGCTTCTAAATTGTCTTTTTATGAGTGAAAAAATATTAATTAATACGAAATGTTGTAAGGGCAGTTGATAGATTTTCGGTTAAGCCCACTTTTATCCAGAGTGCACGCGAAAAAAAGCACACAAGAAATCTTACTGCTATGTCGGTATATAAGAGCATGGTAGAGAACTTACGATCTGCATCAATGACCATATGAGGGACGATCAGTGTTGCATCATCACAGTCAACTATCTCAGTGCTAGCAATGGAGAAAAGACCGGCTTTATTGTAGCCCCTCACCGATAGCTGCAGACACGAATCCAGGTCCAACAACCCAGGGTATGATGCTGTGAAGCGGGCCTTTCGATACAAAAAAATGAAACAAAGGGTCATCAACAGTTATTCTAAATGCGCCTTTCTTTCAAGATCTTATCTAAATGTATTGCTCATTATTAGTAAAAATCTATTTATATTTTGATAACCTGATGTTTTTGCAATTATTAGTCTTGTGTGAAATTCAAGGCAAGTAATATGCAACACTTCGGGGCTCGGACTCGGACTCCAGTCCGACTCGAGTACCTCGATCCAGCGGATTTGGACTAAGACTCGGACTCGACCTGAGTGACTCAGGACTATACGAAATTACCACAAATCACTTATTTTTTTTCACCAATATCATAACAAATTATTTTGTATACGACCCCCTCTATAGAAAGTGATACAGTCAGTGCTATGCAAAAGAAACGCGTCTAAGCTCTTATTTGACATGTTCTACATTTATTTCAAGTTATTGGAGAAAAGCTGTGTAAATGGTAACGTTTACCTTGTGATGTTGCAGCAGTATCTCAAGTTTATTTGCAAAATTAAAAGTGACTCGTGATTCGGACTCGGACTTAACCTTTGTGACTCGTAACTCGGACTCAACTTTTCTGATTCGTGACTCGCACTTGACAAGCGTGACTCGGGACTCGGAGTCGGACTCGGGAGAGGTGACTTACGCTCGGACTCGAACTCGATGTTTGGTGACTCGAACACAAGTCTGTCAAAAACTTCACAATAATACGTACCGCATCCCCAGTAAACACCAAATTCTGGATTTTTATCCAGGGACTCAGCAGTGCTTCATCGCTACCATCCTCAGCAATGCTCCACTCATAGAAATCCATCAGTTCCTGTGGGTCGTCATAACGGACGTAATCATGCGCAAAGGGCTGTAAGACCACATGGAGGTTTGTCCTTCCTTGCGTAGTCTCAGTGCTGTTGACTGTGATCTGACCGACCTCGGGAGGTTGGGATAATACCCAGAATCCATCAGTGACGATCGGTCGGAAGCAAACACTACCATGGCAGAACTGCACCTATCATTACCATACAAAATATGTCGGACTGGATCACTTTTTCCACTTTCTTTATTGAAATATGTTTACCATGCCTTATCAATAAAACGGCATAGGTGATGGGATTGTGTATTTGACGATACAAACATAAAATTTGGCACACAGTCAGCGTATGTTATCGCAGATTTGTCCTTAGGTATATGAAGGTAGAATAACAAGCAATAACAGCCATTTCAGAAATGCTTGTTATTCTACCTATTTTTTTTCAAAGGGCAAATCTGCGATGGCCCTATATCCAAATATAGTTCTAATGACATACTCTGACTGTATGCCAAGTTCCATGCTTGTATCATCAAAGGCACAATTTGATGATAAATATATCCCCTATCCGCCCACACAGTGTATCACGTCCGATTAACATCATACGCCAAGTCTCCAGAAGACGGGCAGAGTATACCGTCCGAAACGCGGAGTTGCTCCCGAATGTTTTCGGAATCTCATAAAACTGACAGAAGATATTTGTCACATGATGCTACCGTCAATCTGGTGTCAGGTCAACTCGATCGTTTGCCAACTCAACTCGGACCAACTCAACCGTTTACCAACTCGACCGTTTACCAAATCGACCGTTGAACCAACTCGACCGTTTTGCGTTCAATTGTAAAAGTCAACTCGACCGGTTGAGTTGGTTTGAGTCGAGTTGGCAAACGGTCGAGTTGACTGTAATCCCGTAAATCTTTATCTTATTACTATCTCCACCATGTAAACCTTCCAATCTTATCTAATATTCTAATGCTATGATATTTCTCCTACCTTTGATCTGTAGTGAGCTCCACCATGCAACCCTATTCCAGCCCCGACATGTTGGAATGCCATGCCAACATCATGGTCATCCAGCACACGTATCCACTCTTTTGTAGTATTCTCATCATCTGGAGGAAATAAATCGTTTACAATCGATCCAACATTAAGACAAAACAGAGTAGCTTGTTTGGCATTTACCCGGCCCAACGAATAAAATTCTAAATGCTTCATTCTTCCATCTTCTATGATCTTCTCCTGTTTATTTCCAAATAAATCGTTTAACACAATTCATTGCATGTGATCAACATTCTGTAAAATTTAATGATCCTCGATTTAATTCCCTGTACATAAATAATGGAAATTCCTAACATTTAAATGCAATCGACACTGTAGTATCTGAGGTTTAGCTGTATAGAACATGATTGAAAAACTATTGGTGTACCTTGGTATATTTCAATCTCCTGTTCAACAGCCCATACGACATTTGTCACAAAAGGCTGCAGCATCTCTGGGATTGTCCAACGAGCTGCGATGTCTGAGGTAGACGATTGGTATGTGATGTCATCCTCACAGGGCTGATCAGCAGCAGCTGAGTGATGGGAATATCCTGATGGCGCAGATGCTGCAAGGTGAAGGCAAGAAACTGTGAATAAAGAGATTTAGAGGGGAGGGACCTAGAGGTATGGTCCAACAAGCCGATACGTCTGGGATAAAGGACTGGTAGGTGATGTCACCCTGACAGGGTTGATGAGCAAATTGTGAGTGATGGGATGGATGTTCCTGATGGCAGAGACACTCACTGCAAGGAGGAGGCAAGAAACTGTGAATGAAGAGAGAGTAGGGAGGGATCTAGAGAGATGGTCCATCGAGCTGAGATGTCAGAGGTAGAGGATTGGTAGGCGATGCCATTCTGACAGAGCTGATGAAATAAGCGATGGGATAATCCCTATGGCACAGATGTTGCAGTGTGAAGGCAATAATCTGTGAATGGAAAGAGATCTGCAAGGATAGTTAAACGAGCTGAGATTTCTGAGGTACAGGACTGGTAGCTCAATCTCCTGAAACAGCCCATACTACATTTGTCACAAAAGGCTGCATCTCTGGGATGGTCCAACGAGCTGAGATGTCTGAGGTAGAGGACTGTTAGCTAATGTCATCTTGACATGGTTGATCAGCAAGAGATGAGTGGTGGGATAAATCCTGATGGCATAGACACTGCAAGAAGGAGGCAAGAAGCTGTGAATGAAGCGAAAGAAGGGAAAGATCTAGAAAGATGGTCAAAGGAACTGATATGTCTGAGGTAGAGGACTGGGTGAGGTGATGTCATTCTGACAGGGTTGATGAGCAAGAGAAGAGTGATGAGTTAATCCGATGGCACAGACACTGCAAGAAGGAGGGAAGAAGCTGTAAATAAGCGAGAGAAGGGGGGATTTAAAGTGTCCATGGAGATGAAATCACCCTGAAAGGGTTGATCAGCAACAGATGAGTGGTTGAATGACATGGGCACTACAAAAAGGAATCAAGAGACTGTGAATGAAGGACAAGTAGGTAGAAATCTTTTAGTGTGGTAAAAAAAATCAGAGATGTCTGAGGTAGAGTAGCTGATGTATTTAAGGCAGAGGTAGTTATGGTCCAAGAATCGTCACTTTTCAATTGATCCAGAGGATGAACCAGTAAACACAGATTTTCGAGGTAGATATGATATGTGGTGTCATATGACAATATTCATGAGTAACGGATGAGTGATGTAATAATCTTGACACTGCAAGAAGATTACATGAAACTGTAATTAACAAAAGTGTAGAGAGAGATTCAGATAGATGGTCCAATGAACTGAGATGTCTGTGGTAGATGATGAGTAAATGATGTAATCCTAGTCTGGTACCATCTTCCAACATAGGGGGCGCTCTTCAAAACCAATGATTATATGCTAAACATACATTATGTACCCATTTTAAGGGCGTCTTGTATGGGTTTTGAAACTTGGTTTTCATAATCCTCGTTTATATCAAAAATATCTCTACCATTATTGGAAAATGGTTAGTTCTAAGAAATAGTAAGATACTTTAAGGGCATTTTTTAGTTATCTCGAGGGGACACTTTAATGCTCGAGGGGGCACATTTATGGCCGCAAAAGGGGCACTGGGGAAAATCTGGGGGCAAACGCCCACCCCCCAGCCCCCCCCCCCCCCGGTTCCGCCGCCCCTGAATGCAAAGGATATGAAATTGCACAAATATGGAGTAAAGATCTTACTTGCATCTTGATCACAACCCAGTCCATCTTTGATCACAGCTCCCTCCAGTGCCTGACCCTCCTGAATGACTTTGACACCATCTGAAGTAACGTTGACGCTACCGGCTTCAGAGTTGGCACGAACGGTCACGTAATAGGTCTAGTGATAATAAATGAAAAGAAAAGGTAACAAGCTGAAGGAATAAGGTCTACAAATAAAAAACAAGAGATGGCAGGAAATCTCACTGACTTTTCAAATCAAGGGTTTCAGGAACGTCTTTTCAATATTTTAAAATCTACGATGTTACTACCTCGAGCGGAGCAAGATCTTGTCCATGCAATCGATAGAAGGTTGCATTGGCGACATCAATGAAACCACCGCTGACTTCAGTAGCGCCTCCTTCTAATCCGATGGCAATCTCATAGTTGATATCAAGATGAGGATGCTCAAAACCAAACCAACGAGCTGAGATGCTCGTGTTGTCCGTCTGAACGTCAATATCCTTGGCTACCTGTTAAAAAAAATAGTTAAAAACGCATTGTGATATTTTAAATATTAAAACCGAAAAAAAACCTTTGCAATATGTCTTTATGTAAACATCTGATTATCTTCTATATCTTATTGGACATTAAGAGAAACATACACATTATTGATTTCCAAACAAGTGAAATGATGAAAGAGATTATTACAATGAACGAAGCGGCTAACATTTGATATCATTATACATTACCCCAAAGTTAACATCGGATTCCTCGCCAGGGGGTGCAACATCAAGTACAACACCCACGGATGGCAACTGCACCATGTGTCTATACACGGATGAGGTCCCAGCAGTGGTTAACCCGGCGCCATTCTGTGCTTGAACTGTTACGTAATACTCATGATCGCCGTGGAGATGCCAGTTGAGGTCGTCCAATGAGAATGCAGCACAGTGTGATCGTGACAAACACGGCCCAATTCGGTAGTCTTTCTCTGTCTCGAAAGCAACAGTTTCCGTGCCACCCGGACTACTCCCTGGATTTATATAGACACATATTCAACTTTAAACAATTATAACAACTGTAAATTTCTGGATTCCAATTTTAATCCAAACGGAAGTTAGAAAAAGTTGGGACAATACGTTTATGAAAATGCATGTAACAATAAAAGTATTTGATTCATTACTATAATCATAATCAATTTGTTCCCATGGCCGTGCTCAAGATAGTTGTCACATTTTAAGAACGAGAAATTAAAGATCAGATACTTAATATTACAGACACATTCAACTCTCTTAGCACAATAATGAACAATACTTGATATAGTAATCTAACTGCCGACCTATTCAATGTCACTTGAAAATATATGACTTAGTGAATCGCGTAATTAATGGCAACTTGGTGTTGGTAGTGAAGTACTTATTGTAGGGCCTATAGACCACTGCCTTCCAATTAGGCAATCCATGAATATCATCAATGGGATTGAGTACAAACATACATATACTCCAATATGTCTGGACCAATTGCATTAATAAATGTTATGTGTTTCGACTACCTAACCATTACAACTTGGCCTCCCATACTGGTATCCTCATTATCTGCGATATACCCACTTTTACCCATTTCACATAATCATCCATCATCATGGGCTGAGATACATCCAACAAACACAGGTGAGGCACTTTGGACAAATAAGTTAAACTGTATATTTTACTGACTAACTGATGGCAACTTGGTATCTCAGGCTCTGTCCTCGTCATTATTAAACAAGTACCCATACTCCATATAAACAGAGACACGCCCAACAAACATGGGCGGGGAACTTTGGACAAATAATCAACGCTATATGTTTGATAGACTCACCGATGGCAACTTGGTATCTCAGGCTGGTATCCTCATCATCAATGAAGCCACTCTCTCCCCATTCAGCTATCAAGTACTCATCCTCCGCATGGACCGAGACACGCCCAACAAACACGGGTGGCGTGGTATCCACTACAATTGGCCCAATTTTCTACAACATGGATAAAAAAAAATTAATATAATTATGTTGAGCCTCTGCAATTCGAATTGTCATGTACAAATCCACGTCCAGGGCCCAATTTTACGGCGCTGCTAAGCGCAACAATTTGCTTAGCACAAAAAAGTCAGGCGTATAAAAGCAGGTTACAAGCCAAAACTCCACGTGATTTTCATGCTATAGTGCACGAGCACTATACATCACAAAGAGCTTTGGCTGGTAACCTGCTTTTATAAGCCAGACTTTTTTGTGCTAAGCAAATTCTTTTGCTTAGCAGCGCCGTGAAATTGGCCCAAGGTAGGCACTACAAGTCTACAAGTCCGAAATGACTCACCTTACACGTCATGTAGGCTATATTCAAAACCAAAAGCACAAAAGAAATCTGAGAAGTAATTTACATAGTAACTTGCATTGAGCCATTTACCTTTGTAGCAAAATGGAATAAACACCAAATTGGAATTTAGCTCTGACCAACAGAACTATCGTTGTCTGTCTCTACTTGTGCTTGGTTGAGCATCCAATCAATTTGTCATTCCATCTTTGGTTGTCTTAGATGAACTGGTTAGATATAGTATCATTTCATCACTTACCTTGAACGTAGATAATTGAGCCTTGTTGACTGCCTTCAAAACAAGATAGAACACAGATCCATGACTGATGTCAGGATGGTACATAATAAAGTGATCGCGACCTGCTGTTGACCTGAAGGTCACGAGGTCAGGGGTCAGGTTTGAGGGGTCAGTGCTAAGACCGATCTCGTAGTCATAAATGGAGCTCTCTGCATCCTCTCCTGTCCAGGACATGCTAAGCTGTGTTTTAAAATACGACAAAACCATTACAAATAGTTACATTTAATAACTCTTGAGGGAAAACTTCATAAATCCGACAATCATTATGATCTACTACCAATTACTGCAAGATGAATCACTCTTTCAGACGGGCTCTTCATAAATAAACTATACAATGGTAAAAATGAAACTAACAAAATAAAAAATAAAAACGAATCTTTCGGGGACAAACAAGTGATCATTCGTACATGCTTGTCAGTGGGAATGAAGAACTGCTGCTGAACATCTCTGATCCACTTGCAGTCTAAGTCTCCTTGAGGGTTTTCTGTGGTGTCATTGGTGGCAGACATCTCAGGATAAACAGACAAATCTTCTACCAGGGCAGCCTTGGAACTGTTGGTACAATTACATTAATCGGCTAACACATACAAGTACATGCAATTCTTTGGTATTTAAAACTACATGTATTAATGAAGTGCAACAGTCAGCTGCACTCTGCAAAGGAACATATACATTTGAGAGGCAATAACAAAAAGGGGCCTAATTTCTCACCGCCTGTGTTATCCGAAATAAAGGCAAGTATATGGGCATTCTCTTCCCTACCTACAGTCACTAGAGGCATTAATCAACTCCATCTTCATGCGATGCTCGTTGATGAACCACGCCCGACCCTCAACATCCTTAGCTAGACGAGGCCACATCCGGACGAAGCTGATAGCAATCTGGGTCAGCTTTGGAGGACTAGTATCAACAACGACACCGTCGGAACACACGGCCTCTGAAGGTTCCATAGCTCGGTTGAATGCAATGACGGTTACGTAGTATGGGCCAGGTGAGGGCGCTGTCCAACTTACATAAGTCGAAGTGGTCCTCATCATCTAAAATAAAACAAGAAATATTAATTAGCATAGTAAGTACCATTTTCAGTCCAAAAATTTGGACCAGCCATATGAAACTAAAAGATAGCGTACATAGTCAACGGCCACAGAGAGGAACTGTTGCCCAAGAGAAAACATTGCTAAACCCGTCGCATCAGAGAATCTATTGAGATCCACAAACATGACACTGTACCACAAAAAATAGGTTTAACATGTGGCATTCAGTATACCTTGCTGCTACACTCAGGGCTAACAGCCAACTGACATACTTGAGCGAACAGGCCACCAACGGGCATACCACTCAAACACAATGCCCAGCAGACAACCAATCAGAATCCTATAACTCAAGCGCCAATCACAACACTTCCCATTTACACTCTCAATCCTAACACAGCCTACTGAAGGAGTAGCATCTCCAACTCTCCTCAGTGTCCTGACGATGACTAGAGCAGGCTGGTTGAAACGTTGAGATTAAAACTTATCTCAATCAGCCTCAGCTTAGCTAAGATAATTGCGAGAAGTCCCGGCGCCGACCTACTTAGCGACACTAGATCATAAGCAGGACAAGTTATCTTTAGAACTAAGCAGGACTGTTCGTATAACATCTAAATCTACTATGCGGCAGTAGTTATTACCACATGATGTTACCGCAAACCGAAACTATAAAGGATAGTACTTATTTCGTATTTGGGAGAGACTATTTTGTTAATTGTATAGAGACTACAGTTAATTGAAGATAATTGTAGCAGTGTTAGTAACGGAATGCAAGCAATGAGAATTGCATGTAGCTTACACATGTCGCTAATAATCGACAAACAACTTACATAATCACTGACGCTTCCAATCGATGTCTCGTTCATCCAGCAGAATTTGTCAAACAAATACTGGTAGAACTTGACCCCACTCTCCTTGTCAAAGAACCCCTCCCAGTGAGCTGAGAGATCATTGCCTTCCTGAAAGTCTACCTCATTGGATCCACGTAACCCATCATGCACCACGCCGGCTTGAGGGGCTGATGTGTCGATTGTTACCTGTGGGTCATATTACGAGTGAAGTTGATTAGACATATCAAGCTATAAACTTACTTGAAAGAGCTGGACTATTGCAAACGAGGCCAAAATACCTTGATTGTCTGGGTGGTGTCCAGTTTTGCATGATTGCTAATGGTCAGCTTGATAAAGTAGTCGTAGTCATGTGTCGTACTGAACTGCTTTGGATGGAAATCATAGTCTACGGCATAACAGTCACCGGTGGGAACACACATACAGCTGACAGGATCGCAGTCCTCGTCATTCTGTGGAAAGTAACAATACAAATAAAGCAAAGAAAGCTTGCCCTTTTTTCAAAATATAACACCTTTTGCTAAAACCCAGCGCACACCTTTCCGGTTTTACCGGTACACTACATCATCAGCGGGCCATTGTACAGATTTTTTGCGCTAAAAAAAATCGAGCCGATCTTACCGTATACCGCGTGACCGGATGAAATAAAACCTGTTCAATTTTTTCGCATCAGATTGCACTGGATCCGATGCCATCGGAATGGTGTGCGAGAAGCACTCCGATTTCACCCAACGCGATAGTTATGTTATCCCAACAGAAGTCATATGAAGAAGTCACAAAAGTCACAAAAGAAGTCATATGATTAAAAATTTGCAGCTGCAATAATAATCATGCGACTGGTCATCATGTGACTGATAATAATTATCTGACCATTATGGAACGGAATCGGGCATGTGTGCTGGTAACATTGCGGTATAACTGCGCCGCAACAGTGAAAAAACCGTACCGATGATGGGTGTTTACTGTGGACATTTCAATGATGATATTACCGTACCGTATTGATTTTCCTCGCTGGGACTGTTTGATGGTCAAGTTCCATCTCTCCCCCAGTGTGATTGTCAAATAGACGCAATTCAATGGTTCTTACGCCGCTGTGAATGTCATAAGCTCTGAATGCAATACTGGATGTGGAAGAAGAATAGGCAACGTTGAGGAAACATGATTTTCAACAAGAAAAGTCTTAATTAATGAACTTGGTCGGGGGTATAAACATACTTCCATAATACGCCATACATACGCCAAGCCGTTGGTAAATTGTCGGTTTTGGCCTAATTTTGTTCAGGCATTTAACTAATAAGTTTTATTTTGTACAAGTGATTGGTCAGTTCCATACTGTGACGATTTTCCAGCGGAAACATTAAGTCTATGCAGATATGCTAAGCCATTCGGTGTCTGCATACAAATTATACACTCTTAAAACAACTTAGTCAAAATATTGACTGTTTTTCCTAGTTATTGAAAATTGACTAGGAATTTAGTTAAACATGCAAATTTTTATACCATGACTACAAAAAGTAGTTGGGTTGGACTCCAATTTCAGTTATTTGCATAACTATTTTTCCAAAGTCAGTAATACTGACTAGAAAAATCTAGTCAGATTGACTGATTTTCAGTTGCACCCAGCTGACCCTGAATGGTTAGTCAAATTTAACTGGTTTCTAGTCAAATCTGACTAATGCTTTTTTAGAGTGTATACTTGCAAAGGACAGTCTGCATATTATTAGATGGTCTGGAAGGAATGGCCGATCTACTAAGTCTATAAAACCTGGCTGCTAAGTTAAGAATAATTAAGGACGGGTTATTTTGGTATTTTATGATGGACAATAAAAAAGGGAAACCTACCTCATCTCATGCAGATCCTCTGAATTATGAACGGCCACGTTCACCTCCCCGTCCCGTACCAGCCAGAAGTCTTCAATGACAGGCGGGGAGGCATCAGCGTGCACCAACACACTGTCCCTCAGAAAGTGACCAGCCAGGTCCCTGGCCTCCACCCAGAACCGAATCGAATCGCCGTCTACTAGGGTCACGTCATAAGTCGCTTGCGTAGTTACGCCTTCACTGCTCCAGTGGTCTGAGTTGTCGTCACTCACGTTGACAGTGGTCCTGCCACCGCTGTGGTCAATGTCATATAACACGCGGAATTCTGTCACGCCAAAGGCATTGGGGATGGCTGCACGGCCACGAAGTCCAAAGTTCTGGTCATAATCTTCAGGGTGATGCAACAACAAGGAAAACTACTTTGACAGGAATGTTAACCTACTTACTTAACTCATTTAAACTGTTCTCTGTTATAAAGTAGCGAAATATAGCTCTTCAACCATACATGGTAAAAAAAAAATCGTTAAAAAAATTACAAGAAGGGTGTTATTATGCTAATGTGAATACAAGTCACCAAAATTACTGTTGTCCACGTTTCAGTCCGGTGTACTTTTGTTTTGTCTTCAAATCAAGCTCCGAAGCTCAGTCAAGCCGAGCGGATGGAATAAAGCCGTCCGTATACAAACGGGTTCGGTACATGGTATTTTTAAACTACCATATCTCAGAGACTGAATATGCATTTGCAATCATTTTTTTCGTCACTGATGTTTAAAGATCAATATTTTAATACCATTTTAATTGATTTTTTTGAGGAAATATTATGCTCAACAAGAAGGTGAAAATAGCTGTCAGAGGTGGGTTTCCTTCTTTTTTTGCACCTCCCTGTTGACAAGAAATGAAGGCTCAGCAATTTCAAATGCATATGCCACAAGTTACCACAGAGAGATGCAATCTTTGCTTATCATGTACATGTGATTGTTCACAATGCTCACATGCAACCAGTGATAGGGAACATCTTGATCGATTCTCATCAAGGCAGTGTCTTCTTCTAAATAATTACGCATTTAAACTTCGTGGAATCAATAATGTGGAGAGGGATGAGTGCAAATATTTACGTTCACTATTAGAGAGCTTTCATTGGATAATAGCAACCCCACCCTACCCCCACCCTACGCCCATAACACCCCCATCTTACCCCCAAATGGTACCTATACTTCTCAAGCAATCATAACCTTGCAAACAAGACGAATGGGAAAATAGCCCATTATGACTATGAGCAAACGATAATAACGAAATACAAATAACGCCTACAAGCTCGGCTTTCATGATAAAGTGGAGCACTGATGAATATTACGCAATTCAGTACGCATTTGTGGCATTTAGTTGTATCAATATCAGAACTTACAGACAATTACGTGGCATCGGTACACACATTGATTTTTCGCATGCCGGTGCGTGTTTTCAAAATGCTGCATAATAAGCAAACAACTGCTAAACGTTGCGACAACATTTGTCTGAAGTAAAAAGTCAAATGGTTATGTTAACTCGTGCATTTAAACAATAGAATGTGCAATCGGCTACCCTGATTCATGAACTGCAGTACATTGGCAGCAGTTAAGCGGATACAAAGTAAATCGTAATTGAAAGTGATAAACGTGTTTCAAAAAGTGGTTTAAACTTAAAAAAGAAAGCCATCCTAATTGTTTTTTTTCTCCACCGATTTATTGTAATCTTGTCCAGCATTTTCGATCGTAAAGAGAAGTGCTAAACTCACCAGGATGGATTGTTGCAGGGACATAGGACCCAACTGGTTTTAATAAACCTTGGTTGAGATGATCTACATTGATAAAACGGTTTGTCCAATCAAGGTGCACAGATGTCGTCCCTGCGAGGGAGTCCAGGTGGGTCAGCCAGACATAGTCGGTTTCTGCCGTGGCTGAGAGTACACGCACAGACGCGTTTCTCTGCGTGAACGTAACGTCACTTTCATTATCGTCAAAGAACACAAAGCGTCTGCTATGTTTGACATTGCCCGCGTTGTCATAGACACCGAGGACGACGGAGTAAACGCCTGTCGGGTTGACCAAGAAAGACAGAGATGCTTTTATAACTGTCTCTCCAGAGAGTATGAAGACAATAAGTTAAAACAATTACCAACATAAAACACGTAAACTTCGACCAAAGACATACAGCTAAAACCTGAATACGTCGCAAAAATGTACTTTAAGGCAGTTAAAGGAGCTTAACATGCTTCTAGGATCGCAAAATGGTGGTCTTTACAGTTTGAGTCACTTTTCTATCCATTCCTAGCATTAAAAATGTTTTCCTGGCTATCTTAGTAAACTTTACTGAATAAAAAACACAAAATAAAAACTAAAACAAATTGGATGATGGTTCAATCTCCTTCTTCATGACTAACGTAGCCTATAGGGGGTGAAAACAAACGCATAGTCCAGACGCATTCTAAATTATTTAATGTTAATCAATTTACTCCAGTAATCGTCTTGACCAAGCTCATCAATACTGACGTTTGGCAATACTACTTGATGATATCTGGAGACAAGGTAAATTCGCGCAACCTAAGAGTGTAATAGTATCCACTTTGGATTGTTACTATGTCCTCATAATCATTTAGTCACTTATATGCTGAAGAACATGTTATTAAAGTGTAAGTAGAATCATCCAAATGCATTTTTCAAAAAACTAACATAATAAAAAATATACCCAAATATGGGAACAAATAAATTACTTGAATGGTATTTAAGATTTATGCAAATTAGGCATATTTTCACTAAAAATCCAGCTTTGTAACCATCATTTTCAGATTTAGCACCTCCGAATTAGGTAAAATAGCTATGTTACCAACTTCTACTCGAAAATGCCTCTTCTTGCCCTTCATGAGCCCTTTTTTTAATATCGCATAGTCTACCTAGCTTGCAGGATCTGTTGGCTGCTTCGAATCTGCAGCGAATACTGCAATTGAACTGTTCACACGATGGAATTTGCGTCTAGGAGGTAACACACTGAGTATACAAGTACAGTGTTTATACGTCGGTGAAGGGCAAAACCTAATATTGATTTCCATCAATCGCGAATACACGATAAATGCCCAGTGAATTATAAAAAACAGTTTGGCACAATACTTGGCACGATATTAACTGATCCTCGTTAGGCTTACCAACGTGCGGCAAGGTGACATTCTGACCAGAGTTCGTTACCCCAGAGAAAATGGGGTCGCTGTCAAAGATTTCTGTCATCTCATCGCCATGGCTACCTGACAACTGTCGCACTTCCAGACGGTAGTCCTTGATGCCAGCCACACTGTCTGACCAGCCATCCCAGGTTACATCTATTGTTGCCTGTTCAGAAAATAAACTGGATAATAATTTTTTTTTTTTTTTAGATTAAAATGATTCACAATCCTGTCGTTTTCTTGACATATCGGGCCTTTGTTTTCTACATATAACGCGCCAAATGCATACTCTAAATAATCTTCGCTAGCCAGGGTAGTCTTACTACCGTTCATCGTCGTATTGTACCCTGTCCAGATGATTCGAAAGATTTACTAATTGACCTCGCACTATTAAGTTATCATGATACGTTTGTATAATATGAATTGAGACAAAATCTATCCAATCAGATCGCTCATTTAAAAAAAAAAAACTAGCCCCCACAACCATCAGTCAGAAAACCGTCCCCGTCCGCGCGCTTCATAATTGGTTTTGGCTGCTCCCGTTCGTCGAAAACGTGTGTTCATTGTTTGAATGTGTTCAAGTTAGACTATCTTTGAAATTGTCGGACAAAAGACGAAATTAAAGACTGGAAGTGCACTAAATCCATGCTGCTCAACGAATTTGAATATAAGAATTGGTGAATTCAAACGAAAAAATGTTTTAAAATAGCCAGGAAAACATATAGATAAACGCGAACCTGTAAAACAACATTCTCCGTGTCCAGCATTGTGTCCCTACAGCCACTGCCATCCACGCAGTGGTACGGCTGAACGAAGTCAAAAGTGAAAGACGGGCTGCCGTAGCTTGTGCTGCCGCTGTAATACCGGGTGATGATTCGGCTATCGCTGTCTCGGTTGTAAAGTTTCATGTAGCCGCCACTGGTTGAAGATACATTACACCTCAGTCTGTAATACCATAGAAGTGTTAGATCAAACTTTCAAAATTCTAAGTCTAGGATAATTATCATTCAGCGTAAAACACAAATAACACACAAAAATTTGAGAGGAATTGGGTTGGCACAAAGAGCTAGGCACATATGGTTTTCTTTTTGTCACCACGACAACCTGTGCTCGAATTCCACCCCAGCAGACAAGTGAATTAGATCATCAGGGCCGACCAGATCACGAGAGTTTTATAATTTTCCTGCAACTTTTACAATTGCTCATTCCCGTTTCCCCATCCTCTTATTATTTTTCTCTTAACTGCACTCAGAGTGCCATTGAGGAATTCTTGGTTTCATTTCTGGACAGTATTAACATAAAATTACCTAGTATTTCTGGTGCATTTAAACAATATACCTTACAGACTTACATATCTCCTGTTGTTGGTGTCCAAACATTGAGGTCAAGAGTGAATGTGTATTCACAGTGTACCAAGTCTGTTTTTGGCTGGTCTTGATTGAAGGACGGTCCACTCGTTGGTATACACTGCCACGAGCCTATTGAATAGGTTTCTCCCTGAACCCCTGGAGAAGTGCGTCAGAAAAATGAAATAAAAAAGGGAAATAAAAAAAAAACCCAGTTTATTCTTATTGGACCAAAAGTTGTTGTCTATAAGGGTTCATTCAAATTATACATAATCTGTTAGCAATGTTTTGTTTAAGGACTGTACGTTTTTATTGAGTGGTTTGCTTGAAATGCATGGCCAAAGTTTAAAATTATCATTGAGATAGGCCTAACTATGAGTTTAACTGCTATTTAACTGCTCCACACAATAGTGTGGCATGTCCACCCCGAGACCCTAATTACACTCATAGGGGAAAGTAAAAGGAAAAAAAACCAACAATATAAGGTATGCAACAGGTGCGGGCAGAGTACGTCATCTTGATAAAACTTGGTCATGTACATACACAAACCAATTCAACAGGGGTCTTGGCATAGATATTTTGGAGAAAAAAATGGAATAATGTTTTGCTAAGCTCTACAGTAACGGGGATCAGTTTGTATCCGTGGTGTAGCCGAACGGTATGATTGCTTTTGAAGACTGTATAGTGATATTAATTGCAAAAGCGTACGTTGTTAACATTCTAGTAAATTAGCTTACGATTCACAACGGCTGTCACCCCTGCATCCACAACACCCATCCGGACACTATGGATGTATGGATGTCCACCACTACTCAGGCTTGGTAGTCCAGTGGGCTGGTAAGAGCTAACCCACTGGATAGTGATGTTTGTGAAATTGGCTCCGTTGGTGTAGACGGTGTCTGTACTGTTCAGGACCGTAGGTGATTCCAGCGTGGTTGCTCCCATGACGAGGGTGGCTCGGTGCTCTGATAGCACTGGTGCTTGACTGATGCCCACTAAAACGAAGGATTATTATAATACTCATGATACTACTGATACTGGGTCATTTCATATGTATAATAGTTTGTCTGCCTACAATACCGACTCGTAAAAAAGTACGGCTGAGGTCAGAAGCTTTTGATGCGGGTGAATCTCTGGTTAGTCTAGGGGCTAGACGTTGTTTGTTTGATACTCGATAACCCGCCGCCGCGATAATTAACCCACCGCCACGAGAGGGCGTCATCATGACCAACCACATCGCCCATGGACCCGTGAAAAACAACGTCTAGGCAAATTGCCTACATCCCCCCCCAAAATACTGACACCACAAAACAGCTGACCAGTAAAACTGCACAAAAGTTTTGCTGCATCTTGTGTGCTACTGGAAGAAATTTAAAAGTTTGGTTCAGAATTACTATGAAATGTTGTAAATGTGCGCCGCATATATTAGGTCAAACAGGTGCGCGCGCATTACACAACCCATACGAATCTTCGCTCGTACACCCCGCCCTGCAAACAGGACTCTGGGATACTCTGATGAATTCACGCTCTGATTGGTGGGATTTTGCGTGACCAGTGACCTGCGCGTCATTAAGGTCATGACTCTGCAAGGTTTGAAACGGCCGTTAAGAGTGATTCATTACTCTTTTATTCCAGTTTAGAGATGTTTTTTTTCTGGTTGAAAAGCGAAATAATGTAGGAAATTCTGTAAAACTTATCTGTGTTGTAAATTTACAATTCCCGTCACTTGCTCAGGCTCCGTTTCGAATCACGAACGGTCGGATTGCATTACGCGACGCTCAAAATTGTGTCCACATGGTCCGCCATGAAACAGAAATCACATCCGGTATGGAATGTGCGCATTTCTATGGGAAGTTTTCGGATAGCATTTTGCACATTGTCTAACTGCAGTCTTGAACAGCTGCAGCCAGATGCTTTATACATAGGTCATAGGCCACTTCCTTCACAAGATTCTGTGAAGTTCATCAGAGTATCCCAGCGTCCTGTTTGCAGGGGGGGGGGGGGGGGGGGGGGGGGTACGAGCGAAATACGAATCGGCCTTGATGTTGTTGCTAACGGGTTCGTGAGCGATATGGTTGGTCGTGCCAACGCCCCGAACGACAGCTAATCTATGGTCAGTTGACGGATTTGGTTTACATCAAATGGGTTTGTAGTGTAGCTGAACAGCGTCCACTGTCCTTGTAGGTTTCGTTTTGTAAATTTGATGCTGATTAAAGTAACATGTTGGTGATAAGTTCCATTCAATCATCACATTTTTCTCAAGTAAAAATGGTACTTTTCCTAAACTTAAATTTTCTTTATCCACGTTTTTTAAAGCTACAATTAAACCTTAGAAAATGGCAGTTGGAATTGGCTGGCTCTTACATAAATACAATAATGCGATATGAAATTTGATTTAAATTTTGAAGACAAAATCTCAAAGCATACAACGAATCGGGTTTCAAAAACCTTCGATTATGCTTATTCAGTATGGATATCTCTACTGATTCGTCACTTAGGGCCTACTTGTTCTACAGTCATCTTCTGAGAATCCACTGCTGCAGGTGCACCGCCAATTAGTGCAGGACCCCGGGTAGCAGGCATTGCTGTCACTCCTCCATGAACATTGCTCTATGACAAATAACATTGCAAATCAGGAAACTGTTTAAAATTGTGATGAATTCTTGGGTTGATTAACCAAGGAGCAAGCAGTTCCATATTGAATATTTTCAAAAAATCTCATTTTTATCAGCTTTTGGGTTTGGATGATACCTTGTTATGTCTTACGAGACAAAATTTATTTTTAAGTTAAGGTGGATTTCTGTATATGCGAAAAAGCATTGCTTCAGTTGTAATTCATTCTACTAGTAATTTTTATAAGATGTTGATTGTTCAACATGTGAAGGGTATAGTCACTGTTTTTATAAGGTCATTACAATAAATGGGTCTGTTTGGGAACTCCTGTTACCCACAAAGACAGAGTGTGTTAGTTATTTTCATTGGGAGCTCTTTTGTTATCTGGTCCATAAAAAAATAAACAAAAATGTAGTTCTAATCTCAGCAATGGCCCATAAATTAAGTATATGAGTGATTTGAATGAAACATCACTAAAAGAAAGCTTATTGATTGAGCTTATATATCGTAGGTTTTGAAACCACTACATGCAGAAATTCATTTATTTATTAATTTATTAGCCAGGTGTTTTTTTAAAATATGTTTTTTGAAAACTGCAAACTTACTAATGCACTGTCTCATGTCACCGGACTTTTTGTAGGCTGATCCTAGAGACGAGCCGTAATCACCATCACATCTATCGCATCTCTGGTCCGAGGAAGTGCTGCAGTACACCTCAAGACAATGTGTGATGGATGTGCAACCTACGAAAACAAAGAAATATTACCCATAATGTATTTGAACAACAGCCAGCAATCTGAGGTGGGCAAATCTTGAGAAGGTAAGAGGCCCTTAAAATATAATAAATGTATTTACTTAAGTATGTTCTCTTACAATTAATACAAATATTTTTTTTTTACGTTCAAGTGACTTTTAATCCAATTAGCACATGTATTAGATCGTATACAATTTCATTTGCTCCACCACATAACCATGAAACCATAGAGTGCTGGGATGGTTTTGGGCGGTATGAGATGGAGAAAAAAATGCTTCAGATTAAAATTTCCATTTTACCCAAAAAGCCTAAAAATTTAGACCGGCGAAGCCGCAGGCGCCTGACTTACGTAATTATTCTGCACCACCCAATATGACTTGACCCAATATAAGACTATTAGTTTAAGAGGAGGTGCCAACATCACTGTTATATAGAGGCAAACGATATATGTGTGTGGGCATGATTCGGTATTTATATAGGGGACATTGACACGAAAGAGGGCTGTTGCACAGTGTGTTTGCCTGTTACTGATAGGTTATGTGGACATTCGCATTTAAGTTCAACCAAAACAAAATATTTGAACACAAAAGATTAAAAACAAAACAAAAAAAATCAAGACGAAAACAAAACAAACCAATTCAAAAGACACCGATCCTAATCCAAAATAACCCATAACCAAAAACCGAAAGTAAAAGCAAAAGCAAAACCAGATTCAATGCCAGTGATGAAGGATTAAAAAAAAAATGTGCAAAACAAGTTGTGTCTTCACTTACGATTACAACGCGGAGAGTAGAAGCCTCGGTTACAGTTGCTGCAGTACTCAGGCCGAGTACAAGTACCTCCATTGGGACAACCATTCCAACAAACGGCTGGTAACCATGAAATAAAGGCGAAAGATTACTAAAAACAAAAAAGGAATGGGCCTAGCACAGATGCAAATCATCGGAATTATATTAATTCTTTGGGGACCAAACACTATATATTACCTCACAGGTTTGAATGTATATCTTTTTCAAATTTACATTTAAATTGTTTGCTTGAAAAAAAAACGCCGTCAACTCACGGGTGACGCAACCACTTCCTGTATGTCCAGTCCATCCAGAACAACACCTATAAGCTGTCACATAACTGTTAAAAACAAAATAAAACAGACACACACTAGAATCAAAATGCAATGAGTACCCGCATGTACACGTTGTCGTACTCGCAAACTAAAAGCTTATGTGGAGTGCTTCCACAACAAAACAATACATTTATTTGTGGAAATATACAGGCCTACCTACAGTAGGCAAGTTGTAGCTGAACCATACAGGAACTAGGCTTGACTTTCAACAATAAAGTCTTGCCCTCCCCTGGTCTTTGTGTTCAAGGTCAGATGAACGCAGGCATTTATCCCAAAAATGGGCATATGAAATATGTTCCTCTTTTTAATTGCTTTTATTCTTCTCATCCACGGTCGAGGCTACGGCAATACTTAATAGATGTACTAGCCTACTTAAATGATTCATTATTCAGAAGGGCTGACGAAGGGGAATTACAGCGCAGACTGATTGACAGGCGACAACAACCACATGAAACCATACTACGCTTTTTCTTGTGGCACTTCAACACCTGTTTTTGACGGCTTCAGATAGAGAACATTTACCAGCATGTAGCTCAAATATACTGAAGGGGCAATTTGTTGACGGCTTGAAGAACAGGGATTTCGACATTTCTTTTGTGATCTTTTTGACCGATGTCCAGAGATGACGCTCACTGAGCTCAAGACCTGGGACATCAAACCAGAGGAGAGGGAGGGCCCCAGGGACTGTAAGCCAAGCAAACAGGGGTAGTCACAGAGTTGGTCATTAAGGCCCTGACCCTATAATTCCCCCTCCAAGCCGTCAACGAAAGCATTTGTAGGAACGCGTTGACGCAGTTATCTTCCGTGAGAGCGTTAGTCCTTGTGCGTCGCCGGTAGTTGTCAATTGTGTGTCAATTATATGGGACTAAACTAAGTTATACGGGCAAAAACTCCTTACTTCTATTTCGTACCGATGAATCACTACAAGATCTACTAAGCGACGAACTTAAGTGTCCTCGACTTAACCTCAGGATACTACCGGGTTGCCATGGGGGAGAATGATCAGGAAAAAACAACATTTGGAGGTATACACAAGAATGTTGTTTGGGGTCTGCAAAAGTCCAGCGACATTTCAGGGCTTAGTGCAACGTTGCATTGGTGATCAAGCCCTCTAGAACATTTTAATACATAAATAACATCATCATATTCTCGTCAAGCTTTGATGACTAGATATCCGTAGTGCAGGATTTGCCACAACAAACGACGGTTACTGAGTTTCAGTGGTCTTTACAGGAGTCTTTATTATGTTTGTCTACCATTTTTTTTACAATGTCGTATGTCATCTTTTTACTTTCCTGAATTTAGTTTTATATCATTGTAAAGGCAACAACTTTTCAAAAAAGGTACGTTATATTCAAACTGATGATCAGGGCACTTGCTTTACTTGTTCTGTAAATCCTGGGGACTGGCAGCATGGACAATGTAAAAACGAAAACTAAGAGCGGAAAGTTTAAACTACATTTTTAGATAGCTTTTTTTGCGGTTGAGATGAAGTTGACTGAGGAACCAATTCTGCAGTTGTTGAAACGTACGCCTTTGCGACTGGGTTTGGGCAGTACTTTCCCTAGTGCAGGAGAATGGAACATGAGCAGTGATTGCACACGTATCAATTCAATTTTCAATTCAATTCAATTCAATTCAATTCGATAGACATTTATTTCCATACATTGCAGAGAAAATACAGTATTCAAGAACTGTATACAAGAAATAATAATAGGTAAGAAATAATAATAGGTAAGATAATTAAACAAATGTATGGAGGCCGGTTGACGGGAAGCAATAGCTTGTTACGGAAGGCCTTGATATATACACGTATACACTACATTCAGAATAATTAAATAAGAACAATAAGCATCAGTTAAATTAATTAAAACAGAAGAAGTCAATAGTACAATACTTGTGATGTAAAATGAAATCCAATCAAATCAAAGGCGAATGCAGATGGACGAAACGCTTAAAGAACGGACAGACAAAAAGACACCACGACAGACAGAGAGACACCACGACAGACAGACAGAAAGACATACCATACAAGTAATACAGACAGACATTAAACCCAAAAATGTAGGAATGGGACGACAAGGGGGAAAACGAACTTAGAACTATGTTACATAATGGGAGATTAGGAATTGTTTATAGGCACGTTTAAAACATCCCACACAGGATTTTTTTTTAGTAGCTTGGTTGATAGAGTTCCACAAACGAGGTTCAGAGAATCGAAGGGTGTTAATCGAGAAAGACGTGCGAGTGTAAGGTAAGTTCAGATTTTTTTTGAGATCTAGTGCAGTGGTGGTGGGTGTCGCTAACGGACGTGAAATGAGAGGAAAATGTGCGAGGAAGTGGATTATTAGTATGTTTATACATAAATACTCCGGTTTGAAGATTATTAATGTCACATAGAGTAAGAGTGTTTAATTTAACAAAGAGAGGTGCGGTGTGATCACGAGGTTGAGAGAGACTGCAAATTCTGATAGCTCGTTTCTGGATAACCGTAAGAGATTTGAGTTTATTGCTGCTACACCGAGCCCAGACTAATCAATGGGTTCCCAGAGACTTGGTTCAAAGACGCTAGCTTCTCCTCCTCCATATATCCTATGGATGATTGTCAACTTGTCCACTCCTCTCGCTCAAATAGGATTTGGGGAAGGGCGGCTTTGTTCGTCCACGAGTCTCTCAAATTTTGCACTAGATCTGATCTCATGGCCCCCTCTGGTGCTCATGAATGCATATTCATCGAGATAGAACGAGACCATGCTTGTAATATTATCGTTGGTAGTGTCTACAGAGCTCCTGGCTTCTTGACCAATTATTTCCTCTCCTCCTTTGATATTTGTCTCAACACTATAACAAAAGAAAAGAAGCTGTGTTACATAATGGGCGACTTCAACATGAACCTCATCAATTGTTTTCACCATCAACCCACAGAGGATTTTGTAAATACTGTTTATGCATAATGGTCTTCGCCCGTTGATAGACAAACCAACCCGTATCTGTCCACAAAGTGCCTCTCTCATCGATAATAGTCTTACTAACCTTGATACTAATATAACAACCGGAATACTATGCGCTGACATTTCAGATCATTTGCCACTCTTCCAGATAACCCCTTCCCTTTTCAGATCTAAGCCGTCTACGCAGACCACTTAAATCACTAGAGACATCAACAACGTTGTCAAAACCCGTTCTTGTTTTGTTTTTTGTTTGGTATTTTTCTTTTACGCGTACGTCAATCTATTCACGCGTTAACTTTCCCCGTTGTAATGACGTATTGAACTTCCCTCCAATTAGCACTCAGTATCGTTCCCGCGCGCAGTCGCGTTTCATACAAAAGCCTTCAACGGCATTCAGGAGCATTCAACGCACCAGGCGTTGCGCAAGGTATTGTAAAACTGGAACAACTTACGTAACACCTTAAAAATGCAGGCCATGGTTATTCACACTGAAACGCATGTACAATTGGTATGTTTTATATAGAAAATGTGCAAAAACGATCTAGATTCAATATAGACCAGAGAAGTCAGAGAGAGAGTTTGTGAGAGTGCTAAATGAGGTGTAGACCGATGACTTGATCCAGGGTAGCTGATATATTGGTGAAATTTCAGTTTACCAATCATCAGTTTGAGCCAGTTCGGCAAAAATTACTATAGTACTAGTCAGTGCCGAAATACACCAGCCCTGTAGAGCTGAAGTCCGGTATAGCAGCACCCACCTGTAGCCGCTCCAAACAAGGAACCAACTTCAATAACCGTGTATTTATGAAGTGATATAAAAGTGAATTTATTGATGAGATTTGACTCAAAGGAAACATATATACTTTATGGTCCTTATTGAAATGAGATTCGCGAATTTTCTGGTTGAGTTACGTCATCGCAGACAGAAGCCTAAGGAATTTCTGCAGGAGTTATGTCAGGCAATACACGAGTTGGCTGTTAAGGCATATCCAGAGATCCCTGAGGAGTCAAGGGATCGGTTGGAGAAGAATCACTTTGTTGATGCTGTTTCTGATCAGCAGGTGCGGGAAGGTATCTTTAGAGCAAGACCAAAGAACTTGTCAGAGGCATTACAAGCCGCCCTCGAGACGGAAAACTTCCACAAGGTGGAGGTACAGCGAAGAATTGATGAAAGGCCCCCTAAGTTTGTAAGAGGAACGGACCGAGAAGTGGAGGCAAGAATTCAGTCCATCGAGCGGGCTGTTAACTCGCACACGAAGTGTGTAAACGAAATGACTAAGCACTTGGAGCAGTTGATGGGTAGAGTGTTGTTTCAACCACCAGCGCATGCGCAGATGGCTCCTGCGATGCAAGAAGTTTCAGTTGGCTCTCCTCCTCCACAGAGGCGGCCTAAATCCGAGTTGAAGTGTCATAACTGCGGTGCACTTGGTCACTTCGCTAGAGAGTGCAGGCAGCCTAAGCGTAAACGTAACTGCTACCAGGGAAACGAGAACCAGCCGACCGGGGGACCCGCGGAAAGGCTGAACAATGTACAGGGTCCACAGTAACGGAGGGCACGAGGTTGAGAAGCGAAGTGCACGTTGTCACAACCCCCGCAATTGGGCCAAGCCATGGTTTGTTCGTAGATAGGTCAATTAGGTCGACTAAGTTTCGCTTGGTTATTGACACCGGGGCAACTGACACATTGATCAGTATGATGATATACTACCAGCTGCCAAAAGAACAGCGGCCCGAGTTGGAATGTTGCGAGTCTAGAGTCAGGCAGGTGGACGGTACCCCTTTGAAAGTGTATGGTACTGCATGGTTGGACTTAGGAATTGGAAAAACCGTCCACCCGACTCGGGCTGTATTTGCTGATATCAGTATTCCCGCCATGTTGGGAATGGACTGGTTGTTAGCCACTAATGGGACTTTGGATTTCCGAAGGCTAGAGTTGTGTATTAATGGGGAAGGAATTAAGTGCACAGGTGTCGCTGGTGAGCCATTCGTGGGCCGCGTGGTGATAGCAGAAGCTACGGAGATTCCACCTGGTCATGAAAAGATTGTGGCTGGAACTAATTGTCGGTCAATGCGAGGGGCTGAAGGGACCACTGATGGTGGAACCAATTGAGTCAGGCGGGCATCTTGGTGAAAAGGGCTGATCCTTGCTAAGTCCCTAATTGATGCACCTGCCGAGATTGTGCCCATTCGAGTATTCAACCCCAATAGGGAAAAACGTGTGCTACATGTCGGAATTATGGCTGCAACAGTTTCACCCGTGGAGGTCGAAACTCCGCCCACACAGGGCAGAGAAGAAGGAGTAAGAGTAGACTTGCTGCCAAGTCATTTGAGAGATTTGTATGAAAGGAGCAAGATACATTTGAACGCAGAAGACCATGGCAGGTTGAAGAGATGTTTGAAAGACTTCCAAGATGTCTTCTCGCAGGGTGATGGTGACATAGGCCTTACTGATATAGTTAAGCACAGTATCGACACTGGTGGTGCTAGACCAGTGAAGCAGAGACCCCGGAAACACCCTGCTTGTAACCAACAAGAGATAAACCGACAGGTGGATGACTTGAAGGGGCGTGGCTTGATAGAGCCATCAGATAGCCCATGGGTGGCTAACGTGGTGTTGGTGAAAAAGAAAGATGGCTCAAAGCGTCTGTGCATCGATTATAGAGGTTTGAATGCAGTAACAATCAAGGACGCGTATCCTGTTCCCAGGATTGATGAGACACTCGACGCGCTAGAGGGCGCTCAGTGGTTCTCAACCCTTGATCTCGCATCCGGGTACTGGCAAGTAGCCCTGGATGAAGATGCTCAGCAGAAGTCAACTTTCGTTATGCGCAACGGGTTGTACCGTTGGAAAGTTATGCCATTCGGGTTGGCGAACGCGCCCGCCACGTTTGAACTTCTTATGGAGAAGGTGTTGGCAGGGTTACAGTGGGAGATCTTATTGGTCTACCTCGATGACGTCATCGTTTTTGGAAAAACGGTGAAAGATGAGTTAGAACGCCTGTGCAAGGTGTTTGAACGATTGAGGAGTGCTGGACTTAAGCTAAAGCCCAGCAAATGCAACCTCTTTCAGAAGTCGGTAACTTACTTTGGTCACATTGTATCGACAGAGGGCGTTGCCACGGATCCCGCCAAAATCAAATCCGTTGCTGATTGGCCAGTCCCGAAGAACGTTAAAGAGGTGAGGAGTTTCCTTGGCCTCGCTTCGTACTATAGACGATTCATACAAGGCTTTGCAAGCATTGCAAGCCCGTTGCACGCCTTAACTTCGAAATCGAAAGTGTTCTCTTGGGATGAGTCTTGTGAGGAAGCGTTCGTCAGACTTAAGGAGGAGTTAATGACCGCTCCAATCTTAGCATACCCATTGCCAGGCCAGGAGTTCATCCTTGACACGGATGCCAGTTTAGAGGGCATAGGCGCAGTACTGTCTCAGGTTCATGACGGTGCTGAAAAGGTTGTTGCCTTTGCAAGCCGGAAGTTGAGTAAAGCCGAAAGAAATTATTGCGTCACCCGGAAGGAGTTGCTTGCAGTGGTTGCCTATCTCAAATACTTCCGCCAGTACTTATATGGTCAGAAAACACTGGTTAGGACAGACCATTCTTCCTTAAGATGGTTGACAAACATGAAAAACCCGGAAGGTCAACTTGCTCGTTGGCTGGAGGTTGTATCAGAATATGACGTCACAATTCAGCACCGCCCTGGTGCCAAGCATGGCATCGCTGATGGTCTATCAAGGCGGCCATGTAAGCAGTGTAGTCACTGTGGTAGTGAAGGTAATGATGACGATGGTGTTGAAGGAGAACAGTCGAATATGCCAAGTAGAAGTAATGAGGCAGCAGTAAGGGTTGCCGCCTTGCAACCGTCGCTAAGCGCCTCAGATCTTAGAAATGGCCAAATGGCAGATGAGTCCATGAAGTGGTTGCTAGTCGCCAAGAGCGAGGAAAAAGAGCGCCCTCCTTGGGCGGACATAGTCAGCTTATCCCCGTCCAGTAAGACGTATTGGGCTTACTGGAATCAGATATCAGTTAGAGACGGTGTACTGTATCAACGTTGGGAATCGGGAGATGGTAGTTCCTTCCGGTGGAGGCTTGTGGCTCCTCAGATCGTCAGACACAAGTTTATAGAAGAATTGCATGGTGGGAAACTTGGCGGCCATCTTGGCCTGAAGAAGACGTTGGCCCGTGTAAAACAAAGATACTTCTGGTCGGGCATGAGTGCCGATGTAAGGACCTGTGTGCGTCAGTGTAACCAGTGTGCGAGGAAAAAGCTGTCTCCTAAGAAACGGAGGGCGCCCTTGCAGCAGTATAATGTTAGGGGAACCATGGACAGGGTAGCCATGGATTTGGTTGGCCCCCTACCGAAGACGGAGGGTGGGAACCTGTGGATCCTTGTAGTAGGAGAGTACACTACAAGATGGATGGAGGCATATGCGCTTCCGGATGCGAAAGCTGAGACAGTCGCCGCTAAATTTGTTAGCGAGTTTGTGTGTTGATTCGGAGTGCCGAGAAAGGTCCATACGGACCAATGGACCAATTTTGAATCCGAACTGTTCCGAGAGATGTGTCGGGTCCTCGGCATTAGTAAAACAAGGACTACAGCATACAATCCCAAGTCGGATGGTCTCATAGAGAGGTTCAATAAGACCCTCGTTACCATGGTATCCATGATGATTGACCCACACAAAGGTCAGCGCGATTGGGACGAGTGCCTCCCGTTTGCAACTAGTGCGTACCGATGTACGCCGCAGGAGAGTTTGGGGGAATCCCCAAATATGATGATGCTGGGTCGAGAAGTTGCTTTGCCATTGGACTTGACCGTGGAGAGTCCTGCACCAAGTGATGACGAAGTAGTACAGACGGACTATTCGCAGAATCTTAGGGACCAGATTCAAAAAGCTCACGAGAGGGCGCAAAAATGCTTAGGAAAAAGCATGAGACGCCAAAAGTGAACTATGACCGGAGGGCAACCAACCCTTGCATCCGGGAGAATGAGTTCGTGTGGGTGTTCAACCCCGCGAAAAAGAAAGGGGTTAGCCCCAAACTTCAGTTGAAGTGGGAGGGGCCGTTTCTGGTACTGAAGAAACTTTCGGATGTGGTGGTTCGCATTCAAAAATTAAAGGGCGCCAAGCCACGTGTTATACACGTGGACAGGTTGAAGCCCTACCAAGGAAGTCCGATCGATCCATGGAGTACTCCCAGTAGGGCTCCCTCTTGTGACACCGAGATCGGAGCATGCGCTGAGAACGTACAAGGCCATCTGAAGGAGTTGGAATCTTCAGATAAAGACGGTGTAGAAAACAATCACCTGGTACCCTTGGATGGTAAGGATGGAGGAAACATTCGTCTTGAACCCCTGTACGATGCGCGTGGAGGGGACAGTCTTCTGGAAACCTCAAATAATGAGGATGAGACCAGTTGTCGTGAGCCCCTTAAGGATATGGGCACAGAGATAAATACTTGCGCTGAAGGCGTAGAAGAGCATCCCGAGGAGTTGCATGACGGGGGTGTAGAAAGTATACAGAAACCATGGGGTAGCAAGGATGCGGCAAGCAGTGTACAAAAATCCAAAGAGACAAGGAGGTATCCAAAGAGGGCGCACAGGTTGCCCCTAAGATTCCGTTAAATTGAATTTGAGTTGGCTGGCAAATAACAGCTGTTTCCACCCTTTTGTCTTTCAGAATTGTCTCTAGATGGCGCCCCTAACCGAAACAAAGACGTACAAGTGCGACAAGTGTGGTCACAAGTTCCAGAAATTGAAGGGATTGCTCCGGCATCTAAGGATAAACCACGGGCCGGCTTTTCTGTACTGCCGCCACTGTGGGTTCAACGTGAAGCGCAGGGACCATTTGCGTAGGCACTACAAGATGGAGCACCCTGCGAAGCTGTCCGAGGTCTCAGAGATAGGCATGGAACCGGAAAGAAGAGGGCGCCCCACTGCGGTGGCTGGCCCCGAACACCCCCCGAAGGATGTAAGGCTAGTCCGAAAATCGTCAGACCCCCAAGCGCCTTTTAAGGTTGTTGTGCCGTTAAACGGCAAGAGTAGTCAGGAGGCCGGTGATGACGAGCTTCCCGCCCTTAAAGGGCTGCCCCCCTGTCTGTCCCCCATTCCTCCCTCTCCTCAACGCACTGTGGAGGAGGACTCCAGACCGCCGGAAGATGAGACGCCAAAGACGTACGAGGATGACGCCATCAGCCTGTCATCCATGCCCCCGCTGGAGTTAGACATCGACGAGGATCTAGAGAAGATACCAGAGGAGCCGCAGGAAGAGACGCACGTGCCAGAGAAGAAGCCGAAATCGCAAGACAAGGCCCCAGCTCCTCCCAAGCCAGCAGCAGATGCCCGACCCAAGGCAGCAACTTCTTCAAAGGAAGCAGCCTCCCGAGAAGACGCGGTTGGAGCTTCAGAGCCCGAAAATACCCAAACTGGCCACCTTTGTGGAGCACACGGAGACCATCATCTACGTTGACAACGTAATCATCTCCAGAGAATCTCGCCAACGGACCTTCTGATCTACCGGGACGTACTTGTGCAGTGCAGCCACGCACTCCCTGGGCATGGGCATGGATCCGCAACCAGGAAGAAATAGGACATCTCAGGAGATTTTTGTCTTGAAGATAAAGACTTTTATTTTTCTTAAGTATATTTTGTACCAACCAGGAGAGCTTTATTTTTTGAGACGTATGGGCCAAAACTGGGCCCGAAAAGTCGTTGTATTGCTAAGATAATTGCATAAGATCTTAGAACCCATTGTTAAAGTGTTTAAAGTGTTTGTGTATTACTATTGTTGTTCCTAATGTTTCTCTTTCAGGTTTTCAAATTAAAAGTAGGTTTGTAATAAGATACCTGTCACGTTTTGTATCGAAATGTCGGCTTATCTAAATGAGGGCATTTAGGCCTGTCAGGCGGCTGTGTAACGTGACAGAGGGCGCTTTTGCGTGGAGCGCTGTAGCTAAAATTAGCACATATACTTTTAGTGCATAGCAGTGGGCTAGGCGCGCGCAGCGCTTAGGCTCCGCCTCGCGCGTTCGCCATTGGGCAGTGGGGTCACCGCTCGGTGACGTGCAGCACGCGCGCGCAGGCGCATATGGGCCAGCGGCCGGTGTCACGGTCTCACTTCTCCGGCGTGCTAGCTTCTCCGGATGGATTCGGCGGACAGTTGAGCACGTTACAGTGCACGTTACATGAGCACGATACATACTGATGTGTCCGCTGTGCTTCCTTTTCCTAGGGCTGTATTACCAAGCCTATTAATAAAACAGTGAGGGACATCCAAGAATGTGTTATGTAACACTTCCCCCCATGGTCTTGCAAGCATTCTGATTTGTGTTCCCAGCGTCATGCATGTGTGTGGGTTTATGGAGGAATAATTAAGAACGAACTCCTTGGTCCGTGTTCCTTGCTCGTTCATGTTCCATTTTGTCTTTATTTTTGCAACCATGCGGCTTAAAATAAATGTGCATTTCAAGTCTTTTTTGGTTATGGTTATTGGGAGTTGTGCGCGCCACGAAAATTCTGGATTCGACTGGTACCCTGTATGCATACAAATATCCTATGATATTACGGGCACCAGTACAACCCCGAAGAACTCAGCACACAAATGAAGCTGACGAAAATGTACACCACTGCGCAATTTTGTGCATGCGTGTTAAAGCGAAATTTCCCTTTCGGAGAAGCTAGCACGCCGGAGAAGTGAGACCGTGACACCGGCTCAGTAGGCTATATAAGGCGCGCAGAAAAGCGAAATCGGGGGACCTGATTTCTGGTTCGAAACGCCGGCAGTTGCGGGCGTGTGGTAAGACATTATACCTCCTGTACTTAGGTGGTAGGGCTGTTGGGCGGTATTGTGACGAGTCGGTTACGGTTCCTCGAGCTGGTGCTGGGTTGCTGCGGGATCAATTGTCCCTTCTTGGGGGCGTGGTTTCGTTGTGATCTTGGCTCCGCGAGAAGGGGGCTGGTGGTGCGTTCGATCGAGATAACTGACTCCGGCACGGTCTGCCTATACGGACCTGCGTGCGCTAGGCTAATCCGGTTCGTTAGTGTGACGTCACCTCCAGCACTTTCTGCACGATTGGAACCGGAAGTTAACGCAGCTCGAGTGTTTGTAGCCAATGGGCGCTAGTAATCAGTGGTGCGCGTGCGTGTATGACGTTTTTACTAACGAACCGGATAGGAAACAATAGGTACATTGCTAACACTGCGCGCTGTGGATGTGAGCGGGTAAGTTAAGGGGCCTAATTGTGGTGCGGTTCGAGTCGTCCCTTATAGGGACTTGCGTAATATCTGGCCCTAGACTTGCATTAGTCTCACGCATATTGCGCTTGCGAAGGAACTTGGAACTCCCCCCCTCACTGGATTATCGTACACTGCTTTTATCCCATAGTTCATTGCACCCCCTGTATATAAGTGTTGCATTTCACAGCGCCCTCTGTTGATCTCTTACTGTTCAATTCTTGGATCGGAGTGGGCCTTTTTGTGATTCCAGGAGGAATGTGAATAAAACAGTGGTTATTATTTCTTTGTAAATGAAACTGCTGTCACAAGGCTGTTCATTGGTTCTCCCTCTTAGTTACGTCGTTAAGGATTAGGCCAATCAGATTAAAGCGCGCTGCCCAGTCACATAAAAACAACTAGCTTTCCGACCGGGACGGTATATTTCCATCCCAACGGACTCGTCTCTAGCCGCTCAGGGACTTTCCAGTACGTGCCGTCCGCGCCACGCCTGTGGAGAGGGCGCCCTCTTTCGAGCACCGCTCCACGCTAAGGGCGTGACGTCACAAATTGGTGTCAGACGATGCTGAGACTGCTTACAATGTCTTCCTCGCACGATTGAAAAACCTCTATGACCACCACTTTCCTTTTATTACACGTACCACAGGTAAATCTAGGAAGAATCAGCCTTGGATGTCGCAAGGAATTATTAATTCCTGCAACATTTGGATAGCCAAAAATATGTTTAATGCCCACATGCTTGACGTCAACAAAAACAGCATTAACGACACCTGGCGAGAAATTAATAATATTTTAGGTAAAACTAATTAAGAAAGCTAATCTCCAAGATGACTTCAGTGACGGTCAAAATACTGTTTCTAACCCCTCATTGATTGCCGATACCTTCAATAACCGTTTCTCCAATATGGGCTCTTCTCTTGCAAGTCGCATTCAACCATCTGATACTCATTTCTCCGATTATTTACGAAGCCCTAATACTTCTTCTTTCTTTCTTTCACCTACAAATTTCTTTGAAATAAACTTAATTGGTAAACAGCTTAACAATAGCACTAGCTGTGGTTTTGACGGAATTAGCCCATCTGTGATCAAATCTGTCATTCCTCCTATTTCTAGACCTCTAGCTCATATTTTCAACATTTCTTTTTCAACAGGCTGTGTACCTCCTCAACTGTAGGTTGCCAAAGTCATTCTCATATTCAAAAGTGGAGACCGCCATTACATCCACAACTACAGGCCCATTTCCATTCTTCCCTGCTTTTCTAAGATTCTTGATTCATCTCTAAATTCATCTCTAAATTTAATCTACTTTTCGATCAACAGTTTGGCTTTCGCAGTAAACATTCTACCGATATGGCCGTTATACATCTCATTGACCAAATAACGACGTCAGTGTCCAGTAAAATGGCAACGGCTGGCGTCTTTGTTGATCTATCTAAGGCTTTTCGACACCATTGATCCCGTCTTCTTTCAAAACTAGATTTCTACGGCATCAGAGGAGTTGCTCTGCAGTGGTTCACCGACTACCTCAATAACAGGCACCAATAAAAGTCTGTTAAAAAACGTGACTCCAAGTGGAATGATATTCACCACGGTGTTCCACAAGGTTCAATCCTTGGACCTCTTTTGTTTTTATTATATGTTAATGACCTACACTACTTGTTCTGCCTTCGGCAGCCGTTGCAATATGTGTCTAGCGCCCTCTGGTGTTCATTCGTATTTTTTCATGCCAGCGTTTTGATCATAGTTATTCATTACAGTTGTACTCTAGAAAATCAGTAATTTCGACAGGTTTTACCAGTAATCCAATCCCCTTAATCAGCACAATCTGTTAGTTATCTTTCTCTGATCATGTAATGTATAAGCTTTTCTAGTTTTATTACTGTTTTGTGGGGTTTGGGGGCTATTTCTTAAGGTTAGTGTCGTTTATTTCGGACACGTGTACATAAACGTGTTCGGTCTCATGTACATTTTGAATTTTTTGTGTGGACATTTTAAGGGCATGGTTTTTCCGCTTACATGTCAATTTGGGGGATTCGTCTACATTTACATGTGTGAAATTCTTTATTGTAATTTCTCTGTTATTTAAGGGGGTATTTCCCGTCAGTTTTATTCTCAGAGTTTTGGATTCTTGGGGTAGACTTGTCTTAGTCCTTGGGCCATTTCCTGTATTTTCTTCTCTTTCATAAGTGGTCAATTAAGATAGTAATCGCCTCACACAAATTAATACTCCATTAATCCTCTGTACTTTATTGTTTAAACTCAAAATGCGTTCTGTATGATTTAAATTGCAGTTTCACATCGCTTCCAATAAACAGCTAAATCGCCGACTCCACTACAGTCCATTTTTGGCTCATTTTGGGAGAGTATTTAGCCTCTGCATAGCTGTGCACGTA